CATTCGTCAGCATCATCAACATAAGCATTTAAATGTTTTCTAAGCGATCCAGAGCAGATTTTAATGTTTTTTAACGACTATCATTATCTCTGAATGGTCCAACCGCAATAAAACGCACTTCAATACTTAAAAACGCCAAAACCATCGATTATCAATCATTTTATGATTGTTATTATTATTATTATTATTTTCAAGCACTTATCATTTGTCAAAACATCTAAAAATTATTTTTTGAAAAAACACAGGTTAAGGTGTACTAAGTAGTTTGTGATAGGTTAGAGTCAAGGGCCAAAGGTCGAAGGTGTGAGGTTAGGAATTGGACGATAAGTGAAAATCGAAATTCGTCGACGAAGAGTTGCGTCAAGTGTGAGCACACTCAAACCGCGAGGGGCCGAACGTGAAAACGTGAAATGTGCGGTCTGTCGACTTGAAGGGCCATTTCGTTCGCGAATAAGTGGGTCCTTATTGCCTTGCGATTGCTCAGCCATTTTGCCAACATTGCCGAGGCTCATGTTTTGTTCATGGGTTTATTATCATCGTCATTTGTTTTCAATTTACAAATTTAAAGTTTTTTCTTTTGAGATTTTTATTTAATTCTTTAAATTTCTAAAGGATATCTGTGGAGAAAAAGTCGTTAAAGCCAAACACAGGCGATTAAATGATTTTTGCTTTGGGTAAGAGTTCGGAATTGGACCGATCGCAAATGACCCGTAAAGTTTTCCGAATCGCGCCTGCGATTTGCACGCCCTCGCGCGTTTTAAATGCCCTCGCGCGCGTAAAAAAGCCGAAAAACGAAACGAAATGAAACGTGTCCGCTGTGAATTAGTCCACGCCGAACGTGGTCGTTTGTTCGAGTCTCAGTCATCGCCGATCTGGAAGATATTATTCTAATCGATTTACCATTTGAACTCAAGCTTCCCGCGTCAGGAAACTCAAAGGTTTTCTACACTTTTTCTTTTTTTCATTTCAATGAATTTAATAACCTCAGTTTATTTTTTTAATAATATAAAAAAATATCTCATTAAATATGAAATTTTGAAAGCCGAATAAAACTAAAAAGGAAACTAATGGACTGAATTACAGACTCAGCAGAGTTTGAAAATGTCTGAAAATGTTCGTAGTCTTTTGTAATCGCGCGGGAGTGAATTGTGAAAATTCAGCATTTTTACGCGGGCGTTCAATTTGCCGCGCGATGAAAAGCCGAACGATGTGCGTTAATTAATTAAAAACGTGCTTGTAATAAATGAGTCTGATAACGCCTGGTTTATTTCGCATTCATTAAACATCTTTAATAACTTTTCCTGAAAAGCAAATTATCATCTTTTGATGATGAATTATGTTGCTTATCAGTGGAGAAAATCATATTCAAGGAAATAAAAATTAATGATTCAGAATTTATAGGCAACAAGTAAATTTTTCCTGCGTCTCCATTAAGAGTTTATCAGGATTTAGATTTTTCACAATTTAATTACTAAAAAATAAAAATAAAAATGGTGAATTTTGTGGTTTTCCATAGAATGAACTTGTGTTACTGCGGAAGAAATGATAACGGCCGGCATAAAACACGAAGACGTAAAACATAAAAATAAAATCTTTATCCGAACGAGGTTGTGGAATAAATCACACCGCACAATAACAAACGCGACAGACGTCGACAGTGCATTAAAATACGACCCCTACGATATAAAACCTAAGATATAATATTTTTTTGTAAAAATTTAATCTATACTACTTTTTATACATTAAAAATACAAAGCATGTGTAATATAGGCAACCCATTTGACAAAAGTCAATCGACCGCGACCCTTTCTAAAAAATATACCAACAACATTGGTCACTCGACTCTGTATCGAGTAGTATGTCTATATTTTGTGTACTCTTTCCTTATTTCTCTTTTGAGTCCAAAGTCTCCCCAGTTGATAGCTTTGTGGCGCGTTTGCCAAACGTTTTGGCCAGACCCTCATCGAAACACAAGTATATTTTCCATATGTGGTCACAGCCAAGTCGAAGGGGGACTCTTTCTCACTTGTACACGAATATAGTATACAAGCAAGAAGAAGAAGAAGAAAATACAAGTAGAATAGAAATAGATGTGTCAGAGCCGACAGAAATTTGGAACGTCGTCGAGTTTATGTCTTTCGGGTGGCGCACACGCAGGGTTTTATTGTTACGCCGCCATCTTGAAGATTGCCGGACCGAAACAGTTTCGTTTGGCACAAATGCCAAGCGGCGGGGTAAAACATACAACTGGCCTCTCAATCACTGAGGCGGCTCAACGATATTAACCTATAAATATACAATGTGTTTAAAATTATTCTAAAAAAATATTTCAGTTTTACTAAGGCAAAATCTTTGAGGTTAATTTTTTGTACGATAGATGTCGTTAGTGAAGCTCCATAACTCAAAGCTTTGATGTATTACAAGTTGCCTTGTTACTCACTTGTTAATTATCGACTTCCCATATTTCCAATTACAGTCTTGACTTTGATATTCCATATCAAGTTCTAATAGAGTGGTTTCACGTTGCACGTTTTGCTCGTTAGCCCCTTTTAGGTTCCAAGGTCACAAAGGTCTTGCCACTACTCGTATGCAAATGCTTTTGAGCGTTTATAGGTTATATAGGTCGGCATGTTGGCGTTATCGAGAACTAATTTCCTCAACGCGTTCCACGCTTCCGAATTCGCACTAATAGCCCACTTGAATTTTCCTCCTTTTATTAACGATTAACACAAAGGCGCACAGATGCTTTGGTACTCAAGGTCAACACATGTGCAGCTCAATTTTAACCTAGAAAAATCTTTTTTGTAAAAAGTCTTTTAAAACAATGACTATGAGTATGTGGAAGTTGTAATTGAAAAAGAAGAAGAAAAAGTAATATGCATGCAAATTGTTGGAAAAGTTTTTAAATTTTTAGATATTCGAAAGTTATTTTTAGCATAAATGGAGTAAAGTAGGTTATATTTTAGGTTATATTTTAGGATATATTAGATTATGCCGAATTGAATATTAATTTAATCGTATTTATCGATTTGTGGCGCGCGTGAGCAAATAAACACAAAACTGCGTAATTAAAAGACGATTTGAAACGATTTGCATTCCGTTTTGGTGCGTTTCACCCTCATAAATTGGTGAAAATGATAAAATGTTAAATATTTACTTTGAAACGCAGATTAAAATAAATCTATCAAATGAAAATTCGGTTGGAATTATCAATATAAATACATTAAATCAAAATACGTTGAATTTCATTTTAAATGTTTAGAATTAAAAAAAACTTTTTTTTTCTAAAATGAGTTGATTTATAAATTTAGTACATTTTCATGTACCTGCTGGCTCGTCACCCATCATTAACCCCCTTCAATTGCTTATATATTTCCTCCTGGCAGTCGTCATGAACTTTCCTCCATTTTCCACGTTCGCCATTTCCATTTTTAGCCCTGTTGCTGATTTAGCACTTTCTTTATGCTTTTATACCCTCCATTCACTTTCTTTCCATTTTTCCACTTTCTTTGACCTTGCACCTTGCTTAATTTATATTTTTTCCTCCAGAGGAAATTTTTGGTCATTGCTCTCATTACTCTCGCCTTAATTGCGTCCATTTTTTCTTTTATCTTTTGCATAAATTTTCCTCTCAATCTGTACACGTTTTTCGTGGGCGTCGCACTCAAAACGCAAACGTGAGGAAATTAAAGGACGAGCCGGCGTTAAATTTACTGAGATTAAACGTTTTAATGTTTAGACTAATGCTGCACTAGAATTAAAATTACCTGAAGGTCACCGCTGACTAAGACTAAGCTAAGGTAATACAAGTTGCAAGCTGGAGTTGAATCCTTAATTTTATTCTAGGCAAGGTGCAATTAACTTTTTCGTTGAAACAACACCGTATTGTAGCCTGCAACAGCGTGAAGTTGTTAGAAATATAAATTCGGCCAGGATAATTCGTATTTCTCGACGTAATTACTTTTCGGAGCGAGAATTATGCGCACAAATTAATTTTATCTAGCAAACACACCAGGAGTCCCCCCCTAGAAAGCAAATAGTTTTAATTTAAGGTTAGGAAAGATATTGTAGTCATAGTGGCGACATCTGTTAAAGAAAACAAAAACTATAAATTAAAACTTGATTTTATGATATTTAATGATAATTTCAGTATTTATGTTGAATAATATGGCTTTTATGTAAATTTGTTGAAGTCTGAAGATATTGCGGGTTTAAAAGTTTGGAAACACGCCCAAAAGCACTCAAACCCTTAAATATTTGCACAAAACTATAAACAACGTCGAAAACTTTGGAACATCCGCGTGGTTTGTCTCGTATTTTTTGAATTCTAAGCGTATAAATGCTTTGACGCCCGAGTTTCTTGGGTTGCAGACATTAGGGGCGTATATTTGAGGTTATGTTTATGTTCCATACAAATTTCACACAAGAAATAGTTCGCGAAGACAATTCTCATCATTATATTTTCCTCTCGTCTTCTGGGCTATAAAGGTGGACCTACTAGGGTTGTAAATTTATTTATACAGAGTGTTTTGGTAAATTTTTATAAAAATTAAAATTATTTAAGGTTATGAATGTAATTTTTATTGGTTTTATTTGAAATTGACTTTAAATTGTTATTCTATTTTAAGAATTGCTTTTATAAAGTAAAATTTATGTTATGATCCTTATTATGATCCTTCCAAGAGTCCCCAGAGAGGGCTGGGAGGAATAACAGGCAGTTTTGGCAATTTACGATTGCCATTCGTTGTCTGTTCATGGCGCGGAATTCATGCATGGACGAGTTCGCAGCAAACGACAACGTTAAATATCATCTTTAATTTTCTGCCCTGCGTTCGCATTCTCTTCAAATTTGTTTGTAATTTGCCGTAGTATTCCTTGGAGTGTAATAAACGTAGTTCACTACTCGCAAACTTTGCCAAAAATATGTCCGAAATAGAAATAAAAATAAAAACTTATTTTGTTTGTTTTTGTTTGTTCTATAATGTTGTTTTTATTTGCAGCTAGGTGTCGCTGTGGGTTTCCTCCTGCCGCCCATGTTGGTTGATGGGCGTGGCTCCATCGCTGAGATCACATCTGATTTGTATGTTATGTTCATTGGGGTTGCTGTCTTCACCACCGTCCTGCTTATCTTGATCGTTATCTGTAAGTATTTTTCTCAAAATTTCTTAAATTGCGTCTAAATATGCAGTGTTGGTTGCCTATATCAAAAAGAAACAGATTTTAAGGTTATTTTTCTTAAATTTTTAAAATTGAGTCTAAATATGTTGTTTTGGTTGCCTATATTTAAAAATAACCAGATTGCAATGTTTTCTGCGTTGTATTAATGTTCTCCGGCTTTGTTAGCACCGATTTTACATCGGTAACTTTTCGACGTTTCATTTTACTGGCGCCATTTGAGTTTTTATTGTTCGCGCGTTTGTCGTTTCCGCAGTTCGCAGTCGTAAAATGTAAAAACGCGCAAAAGTTCACAAAAATCGCATAATTAACATGCGAATGCTTTTATTTAAAATTCCAATCACGAATATTTAAATAAAACGTTTTATAAATTTTATTTTCAATTTAATGCAATTTTTTACGTGTTGAAAGCAAACTATAATTAATTTTCCGCTCACTTGACCATAAATTCACCAATTAAAAATGTTCGCTGCCAAGTTACGCCGCAATTCCACTGCCAACATTTTCTCTTCATCAAATGACGTCCCAAATAAATATTTTTATATCCACATCAATCATAATTGCCACATGCGGAAATTTGAGACAAGTTAACATCTCTTGATCATCCGAGAGTTTTCAAATATTGACGCAGCTTTGCTACTAATCTCGGTTTAACACGACACCACTTAGACGTGTGCCGGTTTCACGCAGTTTTCCTGCTATTTTGCTGCGTAATAAAAGTGATTGTAACATAATATCATCCCTGCTGGAAGCACTTAAAGCTGTTATGGCATGGCCGCAATCCGCCGGCGGTCGGCGGGGCTGTTTATGCGCGCGTAATAACTTTCATAATATATCATCGTTACGTATTTCTGTTTCGAGTGTTTCATATTCCGCGCATCGAATTTATCTCACAATTCCGCATGGTCCAAGAACTTCTTAAATTATCTGTTAAATGATGGAACACTAAAACGGGCCGAATAATGGTTACAAATCATTAAACTTGCTATTATTTTATTTTTATCTTGGAAAATCATTATTTAATCAGTATTTTTAGTATCAAGTGCGCTAAATGGCAATTTAATTTGCTTATGCTTTTTTTCTACTTTCATTTTTTTAGATTTTAACAATTTAAAATTTTTTTGTAATTTAAAATTCCACCCCGTGGCTAAAAGCCGTGACTAAAGTATTTTTTACGGCTAATTACGGCGTAATTAAAGTACATTTTTTCTTTTACCTTAAAAACGCTAGTTTTTCTTCAATTTTGTGAAACAAAAAATGGTACTTTAAACATGGAAGGCCAAGGACGTGACTAAAGTGCTTTAAACACTTTTGTCTCAAAATGTCTCAAAATCGAAGAAAAACCAACGCTTTTTAGGTGAAAGTGAAAATAAAGTACTTTAGTCACGACTTTAACCGCCCATGTTTAAAATACAATTTTTCCTGTTTTAAAACCGTGTAAAAAGTCCCAATTTAAAGCTGGAAGTACAAAAAACCAAAGAAATATTTTATTTTATTTACAAACCTATAGAAAAGTCTTAAATTGTGTCTTGTACTCGTAGATTTAACTTCTCGGTGTTATGGCGTTGACGTTCGGTGCGTTGGCAGTAATACCACGCGATCGTAAATTAAACGAATGATAAATCTCGTCTTAGTCGTCGTCCTGGTCCTGTTTTAAGCTTTTCGGTCGGCCGTCGTTCACCGCTCGTCTTGGGCGTCACCGTCGGCACCGTCAGGCTTTTGTGAGTTTAAAATTCAAACAAAGGAAGTCGAAGGACGCGCAAAAGCGTAAGCTTAGAGAAGATGGTGACGGAGTTTATTTCACGCTCGATTTATCGATGCAATTAACACTTTCATCAAAGAATATGAACAATTTTCTTTGATTAGAAAAATTTTCCTCTCAAAAAAACATAAAACTTAAATTTTTACTCAGAAAATATTTACTTTTTTGAAAGTAAATTTTGTTAACCTTTGTAATGGTTAGTTCGGTTATATCTCTTGGTTGCTTTGATGCGGATGCACGAAAAGTCCTTTGTGTCCTACACCAAACAACATTGTTTACAACTATTACTCGTCGTCTGGGTAGTTTAGTCAGGCGCGGCGGTGGTGAGCTGGAATCTAGGACACTCAGAAGCTTATAACACGATGGGATAGAAAGCTAGAAGGGTTGATTCTGCAAGGGTTGACTTTTCGTCGTTATCGTGCATCGCAACACGAGCGCACATTCAGCGATATTAAGTGACAGGAACTTATACGAAACTTGTACAAACTTGCTGGTGACTTACCGTAACTTCTGGACGCGACATTATCAAAGTTTTAGGTTAAGGGTAAAATCTCACACGTTCCGGCCTTTCAATAACAATTAACCGTCTTGTTTGTTATTAGTTTCACTTGTAATTACATTTTATAATTTAAATTGTTATTTTGAGTTATTTTCACAATAGCATAGGTTTAATGATGTATTGTTGGTTGTCTAACGTAGATTCTGAATTCTCCGCAACTAAAACTGCAAATGCACCAAAAGCTACAAATTGTGCGGAAATTACTGCTTCAGTTTACTGCCAACAGTTTCTCTTGTTGTTAATTATCTCACAGTTTGATTCAGGGGTTTATTCAAGCGAATATTTGTCTTTTCCTGCTTTTAATTTGATTTTAATCCGATTTTATCTTGAAAAACTTTTGTTTCCAGATGTTTGTGAGGTTAATTTCATGTTTAATGAACATAATGAGCAATTATAAATTCATATCATGAAGATAATCAGATTACACACTCGGGTTGTTCGTAATTTGAAAAGTTTGTTTTTACTTGCTTCAAAAGTTTTTGAATTAATTTGGCGTTTTGGTTGCTTTTTCAGTTTTCAAGGCCGGCCCACCAACTCCGCCCTCGTTTGCGCAAGTGCAGTCGCTGCAGGATGAAGAAGGCGTCAACTTCCTGCAGTCTATTAAGAGATTGATGACTAATGTTTCTTATCTGCTGTTGTTGAATGCTTACGGAATCAACGTTGGCATTTTCTATGCTATTTCAACGCTGTTGAATCAGATTATTCTACAGTATTATCCTGTAAGTCATATAAAAACACATTTTGTTCAAAAAAAATTATTTTTTAAATTTTTATCTTTCAGGATGCAGCTGAAGATGCAGGAAGAATTGGTTTGGTGATTGTTTGTGCAGGAATGGTCGGTTCGGTGGTTTGCGGTGTTGCACTCGACAAGTACCACAAATTCAAGTGAGTAATAAATATTTGTCCCACTTTAATCTGTTTTCTACTTTGTATGCTCCTCCCATTAATACCACGCCTCCTGTTCCACATTCAGTAATATTTTATGCTTTATTTTGCAGGGAGACAACGCTCGTGGTGTACGCATTCTCGTTGGTGGGGATGATTATTTATACCTTCACGCTGGCCAAGGGTATTTTGGTCGTGTACATTGTTTCCGGGATATTAGGGTAAGTGAAAAGCAAAATTAAATATAAATCAACTTTTGTTAGCGTAAAACAAGTAGTAATAACTTGACAGGTTTAATTCTGCAAAAATTGGTTATGTCTGTCAAATGTCAAAAAGTGACATTTGAGGTTATATTCAATTTGCATGAAATTTTGTTATTTATTCTTCCCTGGACATGTTTTTATGATAAAATTTATGTTGACACCATGTTGACATTAAATCACAATGGCCGACATGTTGTTCCATGTCCAAACAGTTATAAATCATCTAAAAATGTTTAATTTAACTGTTTTTGATGGTTTTGAATTATATTGTGTATTTTTATCTCAATAGCAATTCTTTAAGGTTATGTTAAATCTTTTGATGAGGTTATACCACCATTCGCACATCTCCTTTCGTCTCTGTATACTTTATTTACGCTTTACGCTTGTTTACGCTTAGTTTCCACGCCGAGTTTTCTTCTTTTATCCGCTTTCTTTGCACCGCACGCAATTTTCCGGTTTTACACTGTCGTGCGTTACGCCCTAGTTAAAATTTGTTACGTTTGGGTGAATCTCACTTCTTCAGCGTGTCAGAGAGTATTCCCTGGCGTTTAAATTCCGTTCGGGGACCAATCTACATACCCGCATCGTCGGGGACCTCGCAAAATAAGGTTTTTTATCGGCGCAGACACGCGCCATAAATTTTTTAGCGATGACAACAGAAAAGATTGAATTTAGGAACATCTAAAATGTGTTTACAAATTTTTAAATTTTTATTTTGTGAGAAAAACCAAAATTTAAAAAAAAACATTTTTTTGTGATTTGGGAAATTTTTGGGAAAAAAACTAAAAAAATAAATTTGAAGACGGGAGATGAGACTTGATAAGTTATGATGGTTGTATCCGCTTCCTTTCCAATTTCCTAAAATCCTTCATAAATTCACTACGCTTCCACATAACTTAAATTGGGAATGTTTCGATATACAGAATGTTCTAAATGTTAAAATTCACATCATGCAAAACTTTCGAAACTTTATAGAATTTAATAGCTGATGTATGCTAATACAAAGTCATAGCAATGTCAATGCGCAGATGTTACACGTCTGCTACCCGTGTTACAACCATGTAACATTAGAATACCTACAAGGACTTCAAAATTCCGTATTCCAAAAAACATTCCAAAACCAATAAAATCCAAGATAGGTCCTTTCGCAATTCCTGAATCCTTTCTAATAGTTACTCCTAGTATGAGATAGAATATGATACGACTAGTCCGATAAACTGCAATCAAGGGAGAATTATGAAGTGATTACTGGTCTTCCCAATCGACTTAGATTTCCTTCTGTTTCCATTCTCCGGCTTAATTCTCCGCGGGAATCGTTTCGGTCCGTCGGTTACGTCGGTTACCCATGTTCGAGGTGTTCGGCATGTTCGGCGTTGTTCGCGCCGATTCAATGAGCTCCAATTTTCCAATTAATTCGATTTGCTTGCGAATTAATTGCCGTTCCAGGCCCGAATTCACGCGCTGTCGCTTTCGGTGGTGCGGTTAAATGACTCCGGGAGACATTGCGTTCGCGTTGTCTTGTTTGCGCCATCCGGCGATTCGTCATTTGTTCGGTCACAAATCTACCGACCAACAAGCAGAGAACTAAAACAATTAAAATTATTTACAGCAGTTTACAATAGTTCCTAATCGTAATGTTTAAGGAATAATTTATTGTTTTCGTAAATTTTAAAGTTAAAATGTTATTACAAAGCGATTTGTTTGTGAAAAAATGTTTTAAGTCGTTTTTAAAGTAGTTTTGTTAGTAAATCCTTCTTTTATTAAAAGTTATGTTAGTTTGAGACAAATTTTTAGTTTAAAGCTTCGTTTGACTATAAACCCTCAATAAACTTTGATAATTCTAAAAGGCGTTAGCTACTCAAGCGTTAACATAAAGATGAGAAAATTTTCTTTTCTTAGAAACAGTCAATGCAGATTTTTTGCGACATTAAAGCGAAGAAGTTATGCAAGTTACTTAATAAACTTTTCAACAATTTCTTACAAATTTCACAAGATCTCAACACAAATAAGAAGTATATCACTGATTTTACGTAAATCAACGTTTATAATAAACTTTTTACTTTTCAATTTAAAACTTTCAAATATCAATTTCTAATTAACCTTTCTGATACATTGCACTTTATTGATCCGTATCATTAATATCAGCATTGGTACATATTAAAACTCCGCAAAAGTTAGTTCTGAAAGTTTTTGTTGTCGAAAGAGAGTTTGTTGTTGGTACGTATTTTATTTTTATGTTTATTTTGTGAAGCAACGCCGATGTTTCTTCAGCGGGACGCATTTGCACGTAGGTGTTGCCAACTGTAACTGAAACTTCTTTTTCACGCCGTTCGCGCGTCGTTTCTTCTCCGCGAAATTACAGTCGATTTCACTTAGTTTCGCTTCTTTTTGGTATTTTTGTTATTTCAGTTGCCTCAGTTTCAGTTTTAGTTAACTTTTACTTCGAGTTTCGGAGGCCATAAGTAAGAAAACTCGATTTGCAGCGTTTTTTCTTTTGTTCGACAAGTTTTGACTTCGACTTCGACTTTGTCTACGTCTATGTCTATGCCAACTTTTTTAAAGTTTTAAATTTTTATTTAAACAAAAATTATAAGGAAATTAAGTGTCTAGGCATTAAAATTGTAATTTTTATATTATTATTCTTTATTTTATTGAATTTAACGACTAAATTTAACTAAAAAAATAATATTTTGAGTAAAATTATGATTTTTTACAAGTTTGTGTTAATTTTTCTTGTGTTTCCATTCGTTTTCGTGAATTTAAAGACAGCAAAACTGCCAAAGCAATTTACTGCTAATGGACTTGAAGTTTTTCTCAATTTCGTCCACGTAGACATTTTCGTTTTCCACTTTTTCAAGGTTTTTCTCTTCCATTCCGCTCTGAATCCACAGATTTTTTTCTTACCGAGTAGATTACAATAAACTTTATTCCCCGCTGATTCTTTCAAGTTTTTGTGGATTTTCTAACCCCTAAACAGTTTTAAATTAACTCGATTCAATTAACTCCGATACATCATCCAACAACAACAAAAAATTCCCAAGCGTGCGTAAATTAAATTATGTTAAACTCGAAATTTTCGTAACAAACAAGGTCAAAGTTAAAAGCAGCTTATTGAATCTCAACCAGAAGCATTCCGTTCATCGCACCCCGCCTGGAATACGTAACAAAAGCAAAGAAAAGAATCCAAAATTGAAGTTGAAAGTGGGTGCCACCTTTGGGGTTACTGGAGTTACGTGTCCGGGTTATAAAGTGCACTGCAAATTTACGAAATCAATCATGTGTCAGAGAGACATATACTTTGCTACTTTGCCCTATATTTTTACCTTCGTATACGTTAGCAAAGAGCAAACATACGATTTCATCGTTGGGGAATTGATTTGTACGTTTCTTGAAAAAAAAAAAATAACCAGAAAGTTTTCTCGAGTTTAACTTTGGCAATAAGTTCTGTGAGATGAATCAGGAAGATAAACGAGTTGTTTGAACGTTGGAAAGCGTCCAGGTGAGATTGAAAGTTGAGAGATTGGTAGCCGGAACGTCCGGTTTTGAGGTTTGAGTTTAGATAAGTAGTGCTGATATTAGTGCTGATAGCATCAGTTTTCTTTGGTCAACAGTTGTATGTTTGCTTTTATTTTGTGATAAGACGTCTTGTGAGTAGTATTATAAGAAATTGCTGAGTGTACAAATACTGGATATGGGATATTTGTCACTCGTTTAACAAAAAAAATGACTAATTTACTGATTGGTGCATTTTTGTAATAATGCTGTTAATAATACTGCATTAAAATAAGTTAAAACGTTGTCAAATATAGTAATTTATCTAAAATTTAATTTTTGCAAGCGAAGAAGTAATTGAATGATTTTTTTTATTTCCCTTTGATTATATATTACTTTCAAATTACTGAGGTTGGTTACTACTAGTCCAAAATTTTTATGATTGGACCAAGAAAACCCTCTGTATCTCATTTAATTATTAAGTTATTGGCTGTTTTTTATTTTTATATTATAGTTAAAAGGCCCTTCTACTAGATGCACATCTTTTTATCCATTTAAATCCATAGGAAATACCACAAAATGCTTTTTTAAAAATGGCTACACAAATGGCTATTTGCTACCTGCACAATCAGTTGCATACGTTAAACCCTACTTTCACTTATAAAATCTCATCAAAGGACGTAAAGAATGCATATTTAAAATACATTTTCTACATTTTGCTTGCAGTTTCTTCATGACCGGCTTGCTCCCAGTTGGATTCGAGCTAGCTGCGGAACTGACATACCCGGAACCGGAAGGCACGTCCGCCGGGTTGCTGAATGCCGCCTCCCAGCTTTTCGGCATTGCATTCACCACCATCTACTCGATACTCTTCAACAACTACGGTGACTTCTGGGCGAACATCACCATGTCGGGCATGCTGGTTGTCGGCACCATTTTGACAGCGTGCATTCGCTCCGATCTCCGGCGGCAGGCTGCACAACAAAGCAAAAAATAAACCACTCACCCCCAACATACCAAAAACAAAAAGAAAACTCAATTTGGGGGGCGGAAAACACACATCATTTCCATTCGAACGTCCAAACACCACTCGATACGATCAAACGATACTAAAACAACACAAAATGGCGGAAGCAACAAGTAAACACTACAAAAATGAATAAAAATGCAAATGATAATGAAAAGCCAGGAAATATTAGATAAGCCGTACAACAAAACAATAACGAATGTGATTATAATGCCAAACTATTGCAAGTAACACAAAAACAAACTTTGTTTGAGAACAAAGCAAAAACACATTTGAAGGTTGAAGATGCAAAGAAATATTTTGGATTTTAGCCGTTGTTATACCTAAATATAAATATAAGCTAACAAGCAGAAACAATAAGAAAATAACAATAATTTTACCTAAATGCTACTAATAGCTCCAAAAAAAGAGATAACCAGAGATATTTACAAGTTTTGACTGTGAATCGACAAATAATAGGATTTACCTCAGAGAAAAGAGTTGTTTAGTCATAGAAGAACTGTGTATTTTACCATCTAAGTATTAACTAATAAGTACTCATCGTAATTTATTTATTGTTTTGTTAATTATTATCAGATGGTACCAGTATGTCAGAAATCAGAGTGAATGTGAAGAAAATATATTTTGCAAAGGTATTAAATATGTGAAAATAACAATAATCACAAAAGAATATTAAAGTATGACAATAATAACAATACAATAATAACAAATAGCTGCTAAACATTCCAAAACATCCAAAAATAATTTTTGACAGATGTTAGTATGTTAGGCAACCAAGTAGGCACTCATGTTTAGAGTATGCTTATCCAATGTGATGTTTTCTAGTTCATTTTAGTTTTAAAATTGTTTCGAATGATATGAATGATGTTAAAATGATGAAATATGATTATAATTGTATTGTTAACACTGTTAACGAAGAGCTAGGCGTAAAAACGATCCTAAATCTTATCTAAACCTAATCTATTTATTGTTAATGTTTAAGAGCAATCGTTTAAGAGATTTTTATAGTTGCGAAGTCGGAAGATGTTTTTGTGGCGCTCGCCAAATGTAAGAATCTTTACTTCCTGTTTCTATAATGATACTCTACTATAATGAAACGTGGAGAAAACTATGAGGAAACGATGAAAAACTATGAAATCTATATTTACTGTGAGTCTAGCAGGCAGGCGTTTAGTCAATGCGCTGTTAGCAGATATTTCTGTATTCCTATCTGTATCTAATGTTAAGTCACATGCTCTATGAAGTCTACCAAGTGAAAAGAATACAATAAATAGTTATAAGTATCTAGCGAGAGAAAAGAAAAACACAATACAATACAAAATGAAAGATTGCACTTGTTACACAATTCACACTTAACTGTCAAGTCGGAAATGTTGGCAAGCAAACGCCATTAAAATATAAATATAAAGTAAATCATGATGGAAATTGCATGACAATGAATTTTTGCAATCATTGGATGTTAAACAAGCGAGAAAAAAGTTTAAAATATGGAAAAATTTGGTTATGACAATATGATGACAATAATAGGCAACCAAACATACACGAAACACACAACTAGTTCATTTTAACTCTTGCATCTTGCTATAGATATTAGACGATGAAATGCTTCCAGTATTTTGTGAGTTTATCTGTGACAATAAGTAAATGTACCTAAAACCACCTGAAGAAAGCAAACAATAATGGTAACAATGTAATAAAACAATAATCTATCCTAGAATGTAATATACAATAATTACTTCTTCCAAATTACGATGAGAGATGTTGAATATGAAGCAATTATTTTTATCAATCGAAAATCTCTTGTATTGCGTGTGTTATGAGTAATAAATGTACAAAAAACCGAAAAAGTGTATGAAAACTAAAGGTACAAGTAATCGTAAGCACACAAAATGAAAGGCTCAAGATTTGCGTTGTGAACAAACATTGAAAATCTCTTTAAAACAATAAAATAAAGAGTAAAGAGAATACGTAGAAATATAAATTGTATAAACACAGTTGAAATGTTTTTAAAAGTTTAGAGAAAGATTGAATTTTTGTGGCTTTGATATTTTTTGTAATTCGGTAGGTAATGAGTGTATTAACGCCGTTATATTTATAAATTCCAAAAATATATGAAGACAAATAAAAATAAAAGCGTACGCGCACCAAGTACGAGTATTTTGATGTATTTTGAGCGGCTTGGATTGTCTCCTCAAAAAATTTTCAACTTTTCGACGGTTTGACAACACGCAAATGAAACCGAAAGTGAGGCAATGTTAAAAACACACTATAATCATATGTACAATGTACAATAATTAACATTCCATTCAAATAATTCACAAATAACAATGATTGATAATAAATTGTTCTAGGTCGTGTAAAAAATCTATATTGATGCAGCTAAAGACGAAATAAATTAATAAATGTTAAATAAAAGTGTTTTATTTAATAAAATAACATTTTGTAAGAATTATGAACTACTGCGCATGCGTATTAACGCGAATTTAAGGTTAGGAGAAGCAGAAATTGAATTTGTGTTTGTGTCTGGATTTATTTCGTGTAAATCTTGAGTTTTACTGCGCGTAGTACCGACTGGAATCGAAATAAATCAATTAGGCAAGCGCTTCAATTACCAGCCAACATGCGGTGCAAGTATTTCAGGGTTTTTCGTTAATTGGAGCCGCCGAACGGCCGCGAACGCGCGTCGGGCGATTATTTCGAATGCTCGATGATGATTACGACTGTTACTTTCATTGCTGCGACAAACCGCTTCGACGTGTTACGAAATTAATTGACGAATATTACATGTTGTAAGAAAATTATCATCAAATAATAAATAAATTTAAAAAATAAATAAATATTATAATTATAAAGGTTAAAAATTATTTTTAGCATTTATAATCATAAAAAATTAAATTTCTTTAAATTATTTCACTTAAAATTGATGTTTTGATGGTTTTGAGTTTGAAAGTAAGTGACGCATGCGTATTAGGCCTCCCACCGCGCGTGGTGCGTTCAAAAAGCGTCCTCGTCTTCTTCACCATCAACTCCTGTAAACATCTCCGCACCGCCGCTGCGCGAAGACCTTAGCTCTTGTTGTTACTCAGCGTGTATTTCGCTCGCGTACGCCGGCGACTCGCGAAGCGCGCGTGCGGCCGATTGCAAAAATAAATGCGCGGCGTCGACCGACGGCGAGGAGTCCGCGACAGCAGCGCGAGCGCGACGCCCAGCTAGACGCGAAACTATTTCCACGAAACGCAGCGAATTCCGCCGCGTTCGCGTTCACGCACGGACCACAAGCGCCAAAAACAAACACGCAAAACAACCACGCAACGAACGAACACGAGTTGAGCGCTGCGCACCCCCGCATCTATTAGTTATTTAGTAGAAAAAAATTAAATTAAAAGTGCGCGCATCAAAATGGCATCCATGATGACGGTGAATTTGAATCGCGGCGACGCGCCGAACTTGGGATTTAGGTTGCAGGGTGGCGTCGATTTCGCACAACCACTACTCATCCAAAAAGTAAGTAAATTTAAAAATTTAATTTTTAAGCTTTTAAAAAAATATTACTTAAGTAACATGACTTAAATTTGAAAATAACTTTATTTCTGGTGGCGAAAACACGTTCAACTCGACGAATTCGACGGAATTAAAATTAGAATTTTAACAAACAAATTTTTGGCAAGGATTCCTCGCATAGATATTACTCAATACATGTTTTTGTGGTGAATTCACTGTGCAAAGGTATCAAATTACATTTTAAACTTATCTAATCATGGTAACTTCAACAACAATAGTGTAATAACCCAAACTTTATCGTATCAATAAAAGTAAATAAACTATTAACATGAAATTTCGATTAAGTATTGAACTATGAATAGATTTTTAAATTTTTCGGATGGAGTATTATCGGATGATTTGTGCTTTGGTAAAACGTGATGCGCCAATGCGCGAATGTGAAGCGCGGCGCTACGAAATCGAAAATGTATGCGTGGTGTGCCATGCGTTTATAAATAGCACATTTTTCGAGCTTATAACAAAGTTGTGCAAGTCTGCACAAGCGCGAACCAGCAAAATGTCCGCCTAGAATAATCTAGAACTGAAATCATCAAAATTACATTTTCTAACCTAAAAATACAGCTATTTTATATCAACATAACCTTTAATATGAATTTTAAGGTGTAAATTGATGTCACTTGTTATTTATAGTTATTAGTGCTTTGATTACGCATCGCATATTTTTTTGCATAGTCGAGTCGGTTATTATTTCGCACAATTAGCGAATAATTTTGCATTCGAGGTCGCCGGTGCGCATGCAAAAATGTGTCGTGTTGTAAAGTGCAGAGACGTTCCGTCGTTTCGCTTTTTTGCACACCAGATAACACATGAACACGTAATCAATGTGTTAATTACATTGTTTTCTTTAAATCGTCAAAAAAACTGACGTAGGCAACACATAATACAAAAACAAAATGTCTAATGATATAAAAACAAACCTAACCTTAAATTCTTGACATTTAAAAGTGAAAATCACGTTGTAATTTGGATAGCGTTTATTGATTCGTATTTGTTCATTTATAAACCGATTTATTCTGTTTGTTCGACAAGCAATTAGCAGCGCCGAACAAAAGAAGCGAGTGTGCATGCACTGGGCGCTTGTTAAGTCGCATTTTAAGCGTATTAAACGTTTTAATAATCGACGACTGGACGAACAATGTTTACGATCGTAACCTTGTACATTTTGCTTGTTTTTTTTGGTTCATTTGTACATGCATACCAAGTTTGGTGCATTTTTTCTACGTTTTTATTGTTGCATTCAGTTCATTTGTTCTTTTGTTGAAATCTATTACAGGCGCCATGCTATTCATGCATTTTTTTTGTTTTAATTGTTTTGCAATGCAATGCAAATGCAAATCAAAAAAATTGTAGAAATTGCTGTAATTATCGACGTGAGTAATACGAGTAACATGAGTAAGAAGAAAATTGTGCAAAAAATATAACAGATGCAAGATGACCGCGTTAATTATAAGGTGCAATGGTTAATTTATTACGGAATGTTTATGTATTGCCTGGGGGAAATTATTTTATAAACACAAAAAACAACAAAATGCTTAGTAAAGGATAAATTGGTATTGTGAAACATAACCTATAAATTTTAACCTCTGAATCACATCATACTTAACCAATTTTTATTATTTTCTCTAGTCATTCACACATTCATATAATTAATCAATTTTATTATTGTAATCGATGGAATTAATGATGATTGACATCAAATTTACATGACAAATACTTCATGAATAAATTTGATTTAATAAAAAAAATAATTTTTACCCTAGATTTATTTTGAGGTTAAAAATAGTAGAACTCTGTAATGAAAAGAAGAAAGTAACACATTTCACACATTTTAAAGTGATTTCTCATCAATTTCTCGGTAAAACAAACTCCAATATTTATAACACACACGTTTCGGTGTATTCAATGGATGTTGTTCAATGATGAGATTCTTTTGAACTCCGCACACACTCCTCCGAGTCTTGTTTATGCGCTTTGTTCGTCATGCGTTGCGGAGCGCTTCGTCGTTTGTTATCTGTATTACTGTATTACTGGTGCATTCCGATATGGTGTATATGGTCTCCGGAGAGCACCTTGTGACGCTTCTTCGCTGGCTTTTAGTAGTTTTTAGCGCGCAACAGGTCAGATTCCTCACAATCCTCACGCGCGTCGCATTCTTTGCGCGTTTTACACCTCGATACATAACCTAATATGTGTTTGACATGTGTCTGACAAAATTTTGTAATTTTTTTATAATCAACGTTTATTATGTTTAAACGAGTGATATATACGTGTGTTTGTGTGTGCCTCGGCAAAACGCAATGAATTAGACGTTCGAAAGACGGGAAACGTGGCGGTCGGCCGCCGGCTGGCGGCGGCTATTTATAAATCGATTGCAGCAGCCGCCATCAGCGAGCTGCGAACGTAAATACCGGCCCGATATTAACGGCCATCGGCATGAAATCGCTCTGAATGCTAAACCTTTTAACGGGCAAATCTCCTCACCAACTATTAATTACTTTCATAAAATAAAAAATCAAATTTACAAGCCTTTTAAATAAAAACATTGTAAATACACCAAAGATCAAAGAAAACAATTTGATGAGTCAATTCGGTTGCTTCCTCCTCGGCACTTTTCGTTTTTAGGAAGTTAGCTGACTATTTTTAACCGGATATGTTACACATTACACATAGATTACGTAGATCGTGCATATCGCAACGCGTGCCGCGTTGAGAAGATGCTTGCTCTAATTTTGAATTTTTGGCACACGGATCACAGCCGCACACGCTACGTAAATAACAATAACGACGCCTACGATCAAGTAATTTGATCCTGGAAAAAGAAAAAAATCATTTCACATGCAATCTACTCTTAAATTTTCAATCGAGCGATAAAGAATGTCCGAGTGCAATCTGTCGGGACGTCTACACTAATCTTATTACGTATTATACTCCGACAAACCTGTCATTACGTTTTTAATCCCTAGCTACCTTTGAGGCGGGCATTGAAAGAGATAAATCTATCGCGCGGTATTCGCAATTCACCATTCCGCGTTCCGAGCGTCTGCGCGAGCGGTATTTGTCCACTAGCGCTTGAATGAAAAGTGAAATAAGTTGTTTTGTTATCGGCACGAACATTTTATCCATTCTACCAACAACGAAAAAATCACATCATTGTGAAATTGTCTGCCTTTACATTTTACATTTCGTACGCGCAACCAATTTACAATAACGACGTCAACATTGCAGATCTGATGTTGGATGCTTAATAATGATGTAAAACGACATGAATCACATGCAATCAGTGGTCAATCAAACGTGCAATTTGTATCCAGGCCGAATTGAAAGCACGGAATTTTAGATAACCAGATATACGCTGCTTTACTTTTATTTTTATGCATATTGTGTTGCCTACAGAGTGAAAAATTTAAATTTTTTTAATTTTAATTTATTTCACCGGTACATTCACCTGCTTAGCATTATTTATGAATAATTATAACTTATTCATGTTTTTCATGACTCAGAAGTCATAACAAACCGATAAGAATTTATTTGTTCGCTGTGTAATCATTCTGGAACATGTTATCGTCTTGTATCGTACATACCTGGTTTTATTTTTTGTTTTCCGGGAAACCAGGAAGTAATTATTGCATTTTTAAACATCCGTTCAATAAAATATGTCTACGCACTAATCTTGATAAGAAAATATTTAAAACCAAATAGATATCCGGTTTAAAAGTGAGGTTAATGTCTCGTTGACGTTTTGTTAAAGATAAAATCAATATCTATAAAATCTTCGGTGTTTATGTTTTGTTAAAGTCAAGTTAAGTTGGCAGCAGGTAGCCAAGACAAATTACAAGGGTTTACGGCGTCGATTAGTCTTTCTACCTGAAAGTTCTCGATGAGTCATTATGTTGGAACTTCCGTTTTACATCTGTCGGTAATAGAAATTTCTTTTCTGCATTTTTATTTAATTTTTTGTTTGCTGGTTAATCATCAATGTGATGTGATGGTTTATTCGATGTCAATTTGTGCGCGGTTTTATTTTAGTGTTTTAGCGTTGCGGTGTGCAAATTGCGTTCTATTCAGGCATATTCTATTTATGGTCGAAGTGATTTCATGCACGTTGCATGTCATCGTGTCATGTGTTCGTCGAGGTGCACCCGGGCACACAATACTATGTCATTATTCATCAAATTGTTATGATTTCAATGTTTACGGATCATCCACGTACGAAAATAAATCAAGCGCGCGGAATGGATGTGAAACTAGGTTATGTCATCAATTTTTTGTCAATAATTGAAAATGTATTAAATCACAAGGTTGGTGTATAAAAATAGTGTTTAAAATGTTTAAAAGTTGATTTGAGAATCATGAAATGTGAAACGATGTGAATTCTTGTTTGCTATCTGCTTGTACTCGTAGTTAGTATCGTACTTATTTGTGTATACCCCGAGTTGGGATTATCGCTCGGCGTTTCCGTTTTCGTTCATTCATTGCATCGTAAGCCATGACGCCAATCTGGCTGGTATAATGCAGAATAGCATTTTTGCGCGTCGGCAAGGTGAAATAAAGTAACGACGTGACATTACGAAATTTCTATGTCACGTCATGGGAATCTGCTTTTCCCATTTGGAACGGTTGATAGCGTACAAAGTGAGCCGACGACGGAGACGTCATAGTATTATGCAACATTGTTTGCATGTTGTTGGGTTTCTGCTAGAACTCAATGAGATATGCAAAAATACAAAAAGCAAAAAACAAAAAAAAAACATTAACAAGACTTCTGTTTGAATTCACATAATTTTTTAGTCTAAAAATACAATAATAACATTAATATTCAACACAAATCTGTAATACTGTGTATAATATGTTGCCTATATTAAAAAAATTAGGAAACGTGATCAGATAATGTTTTAGATAGTATTTTCTAGGAAATTACATAACTTTTATCAATAACTATAAAACTATGATAAGAAATAATCAATATCACGTCCCATCATGTTTCATGTTGTCTATGATGAGGAAAAAACTATAACCATCAATATTATTGCGCAAATATTGACTTACGTTGATGTTTTGACAGTGTTTACTTTGGCTCTCACTAAGTTATCACCTCTTCAACATTAATTTGCAAATATTTTTGAAAACCTCTGCTTAAAAATAAAGTTGTCAGCCTCCAAACACATTTAATAATATTTTAACCATAATTATTCAAAAACCAAGCAGGAAAACAGATTATACATCACGGTAATCAGTGAAATATGTTTGGGTGAATTTACTACCGTCCAACTCGCAAATTGAGGCCAATTTTGTTTATATAAATAGTCACGAATTATTTCGCCAGAGTGTGCTGGTCAAACACACCCACGTCATTTGGTTAGTATAAATTTGTACGGTAAATATTTATACATACAAAATGGCCACGACAGAAATAAAAAATTTAAAATAAACGCAAATAAATTTAAAAAATATTAATATACGAGTAATATAAGTTATAATATAGATGTGAATGACCCATTGACGCGCTGCTCCCTCGCAAGTTTTAATTTTTCTCTTAATATTTGAATATCTTCCGGAACTTTTTTCTTTCTATCAAATTTTGGTTTTGTTTAGGTTCAGAAGGTTTACACTTTTGCTCTTTAGCAGTTTCAACGAATTCTTTCATCTGCTCAAGCATAGTTTGCTGTTTTTTCTTTTCAGTTAAAATTTTAGCTTTGCGTTCTTCCAATTCTTCCTTCATCGTGACCTTGAGCAGGGCTAATCTCTCCTGGAGTTCAGCAATAGACATTTCACACATTAACCCTAGATTACTTGTTTCTGTAGGATCAAATTCCACTTTGTTATTTCCTGCGTTAATTTGTTGCAAGAGTTTTAACTCTTTGATTATTTGAATCTTTTTCGTCAATTCTTCTTCACGTTCTTCATTTGCTTGTTTTAGTAATATTTGTGTTTCGTATTCTATTAACTTTGCATTACAACGTCTTTCTTTTAATAATTTCACTTCAGCGTCTTTTGCGGCGTTTTCTATCGCTTGTACTTTTTCAACAAGTTCTCTATTCTTCTCTTCTTCTTTACGGCGATATTTATCAATTGTTTCTAATAATTTAATCCGTTCTTCTTGATATTGTTGCTTTTTCAGTTGATTCTTTTGAAAAAGTCTTTGTTTTGCCAAAATAGCTTCTTCTCTTGTCAATAAACCTTGTAAATGTTTACGTTCGATATCCTGCAACAATTCTTCTTCTTTTGCTCGACGTAATTCTTCCAAAAGAGTTGTATTTGTCATGTCTCCAAGGGTACCATTAATCAAACTCTCAATTTCTTTAATTTCCGCTGTTTTTTCTTTGGTTAAAAACGCAGCTTGTCTCATTAATGAAGCTGTGGTTGCTTTCACTTCAACTGGATCAAATTTAGGAGGTGGTTTTGCTATAATAGGTTTATAAACAATAGGCGTTGGTGGTTTTGGAAGTGGTTTAGGTTCAGCACATTTGAGGTTAAGTTTCTTAGCCTCTGCTAGTAACTCATACGCCATTTTGCGATTATTAGCTCTTGCTTTTTCCAAAAGTTTCTCTTGATCATTAGGTTTGTAAGTAGTTTTTGGGACAGGTGTTGATTCAAATGGTGGGGGACGTGATACTTTTTCAGTTTTCACAGGAACAATTTTTCTGTCTAATAAAGCAGGTCCATAAGGTTTTGTCAAAGATTTTTTTCCTGCAAATTTCCTTTTTTCTAAGTCTTGTGATAGAGTATTGGTCATGTTTTTAAGTGTAGATTCATTCTGTAGGATTTTACTAAGCACATTTTCAATTAAATATTCTTTATCGTAAATTTTACAACCTTCTTCAACGACTTTAATCAAGCTTTCTTCATTGTTGAAAAATTGTGTTACTCTGTCAAATATTATCATATTTTTTTGGAGGTTATCATAGATATTCTTCCAGTTACCAGCAGATAACTCAAAAATAACTAAATATAAAATTACTATGATTTCCTCCGATTCTAAATTTTGTCTTTTTGATATTGTGTTATTCTCTACCAAATAATCACGAAAAATATCTTTAACTGTTCCCAAAAATATTCTATGTCTATACAAACGTATAAACATAGATCCCATGTCTTCAGAAATATCATTATCACCAAGTTTTTGTTCAATAAACTCCACAGGAGTCAAACTACACTCCTGACCATAATTTTTCAATAGATTTCTAAGGTCCTGCAGCGGGGTATAATTCGATTTTTTATTTTTCAGTTTCTCTTGAGTATTTTTCGACATTTTTCTATAAAATCACTGACAACCATAAAAATATTTGACATTTAATTGAATAATGATTTATTTTTACAGGTCAACAATGGTTCTCCAGCTGATCGTGCTGGTCTGCTGGCCGGGGACTCCGTGATCAAGATCAACAACACGGACGTGTTCAATCTGCGCCACAAGGACGCCCAGGATGTCATCATCCGTGCGGGACCTGCGTTCGCGATCACCATTCAGCGGTGAGTGTGGCAGGACACAAAGTCGTTTAAAAATACAACGTCCACGTGAATAATTGATCGATTGCCACACCTGCTATAATTGTTTGATTGTTTTTTTCTGTTTTGCTCTAGTGGTGGATCCACTTGGCGTCCGAGTGTGACACCGACAGGGGCGCTCAATCAAGGCAGCATTAACAATATCTCTCCGGTGACGAAAACTTCGCTTGCTGCTCAGCCCCAGCAATCGATCGACGCTATCGGGACAGGGCACAATACTTCAGCTAAACCATTCGTAAGCTCTTTTAATTTTTTTCTTTAAAATCAATTTTTTTTATTTTTTTATTTTTTTTTTTAAAATTAGTTGAACGGAACTTCTAACGGAGGTCCAAAGTTGGTCAACAAGCAGTACAACTCTCCAATTGGTCTTTATTCAGATCAAAGCATTGCAGAATCCATTACTGCTCAATCTGAGATTTTATCTACTGGAGCTGTTGGGTATGTCAAAGAAAAATTAAAAATAAATTTTTTCTAAAAAAATTTTTTTTCTCCAAAAGTGTTAACTTCAAGAAAAACGAAAAGAACTACGATGCATCCAAGAGTGCAGTCTTCTCCATGCTCCAGGAAGCTGAACGTGAACCACGCGAATCAGAAGCAGGTAAAGCCTTTGAAACATTCCGAACAAAAGTGGGACTTTGTTTTGAATTTTGAAATTGTTACGTGTTTCATATCTCATTTTGGTGTAACAATTTTTGGAAGCCGTCCATTTTTGCTCACATTATGTTTTCCAGCAGCACTTTCCAGCATTCAAAACCCTGTCATTAAGTCAATGTATCTCTGTAACATTAAAGAGCCGCAAGTTCAGGCGGTGGTCTTCGAGCGATTGGAGAAAAAACGCGATAAAAGTCCAGGTTTAAAAAAGATTTTTCAGTGTCAAATTTTTGTGTGTGTGATACAATTTTAACACACATCGACACAAAACATTTACATTTACAAACAAAACAAAATTTTAAAATATTTTATTGATTTTTATGTTTCTAAGCTCACAAAACGCTGAAATTCTCGTGTTGAGATGTTGTTGTTCGTGAAATTGGCATGCGATTGATCAAGTCGAGCACGTTCGTCCGCCATCTTGGACGCCATGTTGAAGAAGCATCTCTCTTTGATTGAAAAGTCACACCGCGTTATTTATACCCGTCTTATTTGCGATGTTACGGTCGATTATTTCGGCAACTATTTGGCAAAGACGCTATTTGGCACGCGGTCACTACCGACGAAAGTAAATTTAAATTGATCTAAATTCCCACGCGTGCTATTTTTACACCAACGCTGCGATGAACGTGTTCGACCAAAATTATCGGGAAAACAATTGAGAATCTTGATAAAACCTGAAGTGGCACTTACGGGTAGATTTGCAATGAGGTTATGTTAGCATCCATCTCCTATATGTGTACATGCACTATCATGTCGTTCATTGTTGTCCATCTTGTTGTTGTCGTTTGTGTGTGTCGCGTACATGCAAAAATCTAGAGCCTGATTCTGGTGTGGTGACCGCCCCGTTAGGCGGCCTCGTCGGTCTGAAGCACGTCGAGCCTCCAGCGCAGAAGCCAGCGCCACCTACACCGCAACTACCGCCTGGTCAGAATATTTGCGCCGACTGCGAGCGCCTCATCGTGTAAGTATCGCCAACTGCCATCTTGTGTATTGATTTTCAGGTTAGATTTCTACAGACATCAATGCAATAGAATATCAAAATTTCGTCTGGTTATGAAAATTAAAGTCGTGTTCGGGTTACGCTTTCATTTTCTTTTCTTTGTTTTCTGGCTGGCGCAGTAAATCGTAGCGATTTCTACTCGAGGCAGTCGCGACATCCGATGCCTAACGCCAATCGACAAAACTACTATCAAAACAACTATCAGTACGAACCGGAAATTACCAGATGCACTGACTGCGAAAGGGTCATCGTGTAAGCACGAAGCACGAATCTTACGATGTTGTAATTTTTTTTCTTGGTGCTATCTCTTCATCTTTTTGTGATAGACTTTAAATTTCGGGTCGATGTTGTGATGTTTGGCAAGTAGGATCAATATCTGCATCCAAAAAGTAGTTGCACGAAATGTCGTTGAATGTAACTAGATTAAATTCTAAAATATCTTAATAATAATGTTGGTAATTGAATTTTCTAGTGGTGTCTTTGTGAGGATCAAGGACAAGAACTTGCACGTTGAGTGTTTCAAGTGCTCTACTTGTGGAGCTTCATTGAAGAACGTTGGTTACTACAACATCAACAATAAGCTTTACTGCGACATCCACGCTAAACTAGCAGCGAAGAGTAACGCCCCTGGACCTAATTTGGTGCCGGTTACCATCCCACCGTGAGTTTTTCTTAGGTCAATAATCTAGAGCTCTGTATTACCGACATGTGGTATTTTAGAGGTGGTAAGGCTCCAGCCAGCGCAATCTCGGCTGCTTTAAGCAGTCATTCATTGCCTTCACCTGGGCCTGTGTCTCCCAAATTAGGAGGACCTATTTCTCCAAGTCAGAATCTTACTGCTGCACCTTTCCAGGTATTTATTAGTTTATTTTAATTTAAAAAATGTGTTTGATGTTTTTAAAATTAACATTTTTAGAGTGATAATGTTTTGAACAGTTCTAAGTTACTAAAAGAAATAATCCAAGCTGCTGCCAAAAAGAATGACGCATCTTTAAATAATAATAATAATAATAATCATGAGCATGAAGATAAAAGATCAGATTCTGATTTAGTTTCGAGTGTTGATGATTTAAGCTTAAGTGATTATTCAACTAATATCCCTAGCAAATTTAAAACTTTTGATGATTTGAGTGTGGAAGATAAAGATAGTGTTGATGGCTTAATACCGAGTGTTAAAACAATAAACAAAATACCTGCACCTAAATTTCCGAGCTATTACAATAACAAGGTTAGTTTATTTTATACTTATTTTAATTAAATCTAAAATTCGTTTTTAAATTTTAAAACTATTAATATTTGTTTGTTTTATTAGCAAAACTATACAACAGCGCCCCGCCCATTCTCGAGTGTAGCGGCGCCACTGTCTCCCAATAACTACTCGCGTCCGCTGCCAAAGACGCCCACTCAAGCCCCACCTCAGCCTACTTTTGCGCCGCCGCAGCAAACTTACGCACCGCCGCCAGCGCCAGTCACACCAGGTAACAATTAATTACTATCAACACAACACAAACGTTAAATTTGAGAAAACATTATGAACATGCTACAATAAACATAAATCACTGGTGATGGGTGTCGTTTTTAATGTTGGTTCTTGGGGGCGTTGCTAAATTTTAGGTTTCAACGCCTCGAAACCTGCCGGCGGTGGCATGTTCAAAGGTATTTGATTCGGTACCAATTAGTTTTTCTGCTTCTTCTGATATTTTTTTTATAAAACGCGTTTTTGCTTTTTTGCTGAATTTTCTTGTAAATTGTATTCTAGAATCCCGCAAAACGAATTGTCATTTTGTTTCAGATTGTAGAACGTTCAACACACAACCGCGTCCGTTTTCCTTGATATCCAAATAAAATAAGAAATATTTAAAGATTTGAATATCTAATGAAATTAAATGTTGTTTAAATTAGTTTCTAGTTAATTAGCTCAATGGACGCTTGCGTTAGTAAATTAAAGTTGAAAAAAATCATTTTTGAATATTTTTTAAATGTAAATATAACTTTTAAGCACTTTTGCAATGCTTTGCGCACAGTTTTGAAGTTTTTGGGGATTTCTTGATACAAATTACAAGTGAAATTTAATTATTATTGAAAGATATAATAATCTAGCTTTTTTCTTTTCTTTTTTCTTTCTCTTCTTGTGTCAATTTTGTTGTTTGTATCAAAATCAATCCGTGAAACATGCGTTTTTTATTTGTTTGCTGTTTTTCCGACGTTTTTGCTGTTTGCTCTTCTGTTGTTTTCGCTGTTTTCATGTGTTGATAACTAAAAAACAAACAAAAAGAAAAAGTTGAAGTCGTCGAGAACGTTGTGTGGCCTCCCTATCAAGAAGATCTGAATACATTACCCACTGCAAGTCCTTTATATTTTCCTCCCTCGACGCACGTGCACGTCAAAGTAAGACATCTCTCACCAAATCATCAAAAAGCAAGACCTAGACCTCAAACTCCCTACGAAAATCAAAATCTCTTGTGGCTGCTTGTGAATTTTCTACTGAAGATCATCAAGAGGAACAGTTTCAGTCGGATTGTGTAACGTCACAGACTGAGTCCGAATCGGATTATCAAGATTTGGAAGATTATTCTAATTTTTTAAGGAGTATGGAACCTAAAATGTCTCTCACCTCAGCCGAGGTGTATAATATTAACGGGAGAAGGAGTACAATTGAATGTGCACAGGCTTTGGCTGATCACTTACAAACCGCCATGTTGGTTGATAGTGTGATGAAATCTCAAAGACCTAGATCACCCCCACCTTTATCTGCGGATGCACCTTCAGCTGTTAAAAAGCCTCCACCTCCAAAACCTAAAATGGAGTCTCCTATTACCCCAGTGTGTCCTTTGAAGTGTCAGCAGAGTTGTTGCAATGAATGCCCGGAATGTCCCATGAATAAACCAGCGGAGTTGCGAAGGTTGTCAGAATTGGAGCGTTTTGAAGAAATGCGAGCTAAGATACAAAACAATGTTGCTCAAGGTTGGGAATCTCAAATGGTCAGTGCCCTAAGAACAACTCCTGATGTTCCGTTCTGTGCAAGTCCGGATTTATCTCAACTCCCGACTAGAAGTCCAAGAGGTCCCATGGCTTCTGCTATGACAATTGCTCCTCCAAAACCATTTCAACCTATTCAATCAGTTGTTCCTGTGTTTAATACTAAACCGGTTCCATTGCCTGAAGAAACTGTTCCGTATTTACCTCCGGAAAGACCTTTGATACCAGAATTACAAAAACCTAAACCCCAAGAAAGGCGAGAAGAAGAACCAAGGGGTAGTCCATTTGTTGAAGCTTTGAAAACAGCTCCTCAGAGACCTTTCTCACCGATTGTTGGAACAGGCCAACCTCCAACTCCTATCAGACCGAAGAAGAAGTCAGATCCATTTTTGAAAGATCTTCCGAAACCTCAAGAGAAATTGACTATGTTAGCGGCATTAACTACAGCTTCAGATAGGACTTATTCTCCTATGACAGTTGATTATACAGGGGGTGAGATGAGGGTAATGACTTATGAACAAAAACGTGAGGAAGAGGAAGCTAAGGAGTTGAAAGAACTTGAAGAAAAGAGGAGGTTCTCTATTAAACAACCAATTCCACAACCTTTTATTGGTAGAATGGTTGAAACCTTTGAAGGGGGTAATCCAGGTCAAAAAACACCTGATGCCAACTTCCCTCCAGTATCTGTGGAGCTACAAGGAGCTTCTGAATATCATGCTGATTATCAAGAAGTCAAGTCGGAATTGAGCAGTCAGATAACCCAACAACAAGACCGGGCTTTACAGATGCAAAGGGAGGTTCAGCAAATGCAAGCCCAAGTTCAATCAAGCCAGAAAGTTTATGAACAGCATCAGACCTATGAAGCTCAACAGACCTATCAATCACAACAAGAGTCCCATGAAGGTCATGTCTGTTGTATTCATCAAAAAGAATGTCAACTTGCAAAGAAACGTGAAATTGCTAAGCAAAATGAAGAAGTCATTTTGAAGAAACCTTTGACTCTTGCTCAGAGTTTACATAAACAAGACCAGATCCCTTCGTATCAATCAGCTCTTCAATTTGAAGAACAAATTCAACTTCCTCATCATAAGGATATCAAACAACTTCTAAAACCGGAAGAGCGTTCGAAAATAGTTCCAAATCCGAGACCTTTATTGAGAGCTGACCCTCATCATAATATGGCAACACCTCCACCTAAGATAATAGCACCTGTCAGTGTGGTTACCCCAGGGGAACATAGTCCCAATCCAAGAGCAAGTTTCCAAACTGTGAACGATAACTTCCAACCACCTTCAAGTGCTATTTCTCAAAGATTAGGTCAATCTACTCCAAGTAAAATGAACAAAACCCCATCAGCAATCCCATACTATCAACAGAATTTGGTAGCAACACAGTTTTTGGCTCCAGAGATCAATGTGTTTGATCCTAGTAGTCCTGCAATGTCAAGGTCACCTAGTCCATGCCCCGGTGCAAAACCTGAGAGGGATAGACCTAATTCTCCCTTTAGGAAACCACCAAGTAGACCAAAGTCCCCAGCTGCTGGACCACCTCCCAATCCTCTAAAGAAACATCAGGATCCAGCTGGTTTAATTAAAGATGTGCAAGTTGAGAAGGCCAAGGACAAGGTCACTTCATACATCCCTCATCATCAAGAAAAGTATCAAACCATTCAAACCCGTGAGGGTGACTACTATGATCAAAGCAGAGTTGTAGACTACTCTCAGAACAGGTCCCAGATCAATGAACCTAACTTTCAACAGCAGACCCAACAGGCTCGTGCGTATGAAGCAGATGCTACTCAAAAGCACCACGTCCATTTTGAGGGTAATGCTAAAGTGTCTACCAAGGAACAATCAGCATCAGAACGTAAACAAGAATTAAACAAAACCCAAGCTCAGTCCACACAAGTATCCGCTGATGGAAGGACTAAGGTCCAAAGAAAGAAAACCGTCGTTGAGGAGTTTGAGCAGTCCCACAAAGAGAAATCAATTGAAATCCAAAAGACATACCCTTTTGAAAGGGTCAACGCACCTATTCCTATCCATGAAGAGCAGGGTATGCAAGGTTTGCACGTTACCAATCCAAAACAGATCCATTCTCCATTTTTGGGTCAACCAATACAAGGACCTCCTCCTATGCCTAAGAACCCTATCCCTGTAGCCCCAAAATTCCTGAACCACCTCCCCCACCAACTTATAAACCAGTTAAAGCTCCGGTACCGAGCAAGGTTCCTGTAAAACCAGTGCCACCGTTGTCGAGTGATGTATTACCCTCTGGTGGTGGTAGTGCTAATCCCGTTCCCGATCCTATAGGTACCGGCGGTGGTCGTCAAGCCGGAGGCAATGTGTTTGCACCTAAACGCGGCAGGGGTGTCCTGAATGTTGGTGGTTTGGGTGCCAGGGTTGCTACTTGCGGTGCTTGTCATTCACAAATCAGGTTAGGTTTTACAAAAACATAACCTCTGCTTAACCCTATAACCTTAATAATAGTTTATTAAAAAATGTTTTTGCATGTTTTGATGGTTTGTGTGTTTTGTTTTGTTTTAAAGAGCATGATACGCACGAAACTGAAATTGTTTACTCCAATGATCGAGTTGAGATTACTACAACAATGCCGCCGGGTTCAGAGAAGTACTACAATGAAATCAATGTTAGTATTCCAATGCCGACGTTTGCACCGAGTTTATCATCGGAATCTTCTCCACGGTCGTTTATTTCATGCAATTCTAATCCGCCATCGGAGAAAAACGATTATTTTACTTCTTCGAAGAATAATTACATTGAGACGACATTTCCGGCTGGTGCTGCAGGAAGTGATAAACCTATGACGTTGCATCGAGCTAACAAATCGCAAATTAATGATAATAACGCTAATACTATTTGCAATGTGTGTCAAAAAGTAATAAGGTTTGTGTGTTTTATTTTAATTTTTAACAAATTTTATTAATTTTTGATTGAATGGATCTAAATGTTTTGTTTTTGCATTAGGGGTCCGTTTATTACTGCTTTGGGTAAAATCTGGTGCCCGGAACATTTCACCTGCGCAACCGCAAGCTGCAGACGTCCTCTGCAAGACATTGGTTTTGTTGAAGATGGTGGACAATTGCACTGCGAGTATTGCTTCGAGCAATATTTGGCTCCTAACTGTGCTAAATGCGGTTCTAAAATCAAGGGTGTAAGTAATCAAACAATTTCTTTATTTTCTATTGAATTTAATCAAATTTTTTGGTTAGGATTGCCTGAAAGCTATTCAGAAGAACTTCCATCCTGAGTGCTTCAACTGCGCTCACTGCGGTAAATTATTCGGCAACTCTCCATTCTTCCTTGAGGATGGTCTTCCATATTGTGAAACTGGTAATATACATATTTAATGTGCATTGGGTTGCCTATTAAATTTTTTTTTTATAGATTGGAATGAAATGTTTACCACAAAATGTTTCGCTTGTGGTTTCCCTGTGGAAGCTGGCGATCGTTGGGTTGAAGCTTTGAGCAACAACTATCATAGTCAATGCTTCAATTGCACTGTAAGTACATTAAAACTTTAATATTTAACCTTAAATTTTAATTTATTTGCTTATAAATTAGATGTGCAAGAAGAATTTGGAAGGACAAAGCTTCTATGCTAAAGGTGGACGTCCATTCTGCAAGAATCACGCACGTTAAGTCAACCCCAACTTAATTCTCTTAAGAAATTACCATCCAAAGTCAAATAACAACACAAACCTAACCTAAAATTTGACCAATACATAACCCCTTTCAAAATGCAAGGAAACAGTCATAATATAAGCTAAAAGTGCCAAAGTTAAGCGATTAAAACGCACAAAATCATAAATTGAAACTGAATACAATATAAATACAAATCTAAACGATCGTTATTTATGATAACGATGAAATTAAAACTTGAAAAGCCCGCAGACGATCATTATAAATTAATAACGAGCAAATAATCTCAGAGTAAATGTCTCTTTGTCATGTAATCAATGCGGTAATGTGGCATGCTCGCGTGCAATGCGAAAATCGATAAGAAATTAATTAATTTATTGCCCCGCAACAAGAAATATTAAAGAAAACGTTGAGGAAATCTTTAAAAACAAGCAAAACATCAAATATTTAAAAAAAATAAAAATAAAATAAACTTAATCCTATTTATTGTTGATATAATATTTATCGGTAATTTAATTCAATGTAATTTAAGATAATTTACGATTTATGATAATATGATACAGAGAGTTTTGATTTTAAGCACGATGCAATATAAAATCGAAATATTTTCTGCTTTCACGCTTTCTGCCTTGGCGATTTTTAAATAATTTTAAAGAAATATTATAAACAAAAACTACGAAAAATTGATTTCTTAATTACGTGCCATGTTTGGATTAATTAGACGGCGTCTAGATGGATTGTTCATTATTTATCTTCTTTATTCGTAATTTTGCGACAACATTGTGTTACGATGTAAAAGTGAATTGTAATCAATTGTAAATTTGTTTGTTTACTATCGTATGATAATAATCTTATACAATATTATCGATTAATGTTATTTAATTATAATTATGCGTAAATCGTGAATGTTAAAGCAAGTTATCAAAAAAAAAAAACGACAAGAAACAAGTCGATTCTTCGTTATCCTGTTATCGTATATAGCTTATTGTATAATCTAATCGTAGGTTATTTAAATTTATTGTAATTATATATAAATTGCTTTAGAGACAGACAAATTTCGTTTTTTTCTTGTAATTAATGAATCACAGATTTTAAAGCTATAAAAGTGACAGCATCACAGCGCCATCTGGTGAGTATTAGCTATGAAATAATTTGCATACTATAACTGATAATATTTAATCATTTAATAATTAAAATGGCAGATTTTGTGATTTTCGATGTTTGTGCACGTTTTTGGCAATTAATTTAATCATTTTCGTAAATTTTAAATTGGTGGTATCCATACTTCGCCCATTAACTCAACATCTTTGGCGAGAAACTCGTTTAATTGACATTCTGAAGCGTGTGGATGGGTTTTGGCGATTTCTTTTGCACTGCGCATCCATTTTGTTAGCTAAAATATGTTTTTTGAGGTTATATAGCGCCATCTGGTAGAAAGTAGCTACTAACCTGACACACTATTTGTTTGGCGCTGCCTTTCTCCAGATAACTGTAAAATTGTGTGCGTTCGTTAAATGGACATAGTTTTATCCATCCTCCTTCTCGTTTTGGACCAATTGTCCAATCTTTACCATTTCCCCAGTGACTGGAGTCTTTATTTTCAGATTTTTGCTTCCTAATTTCTATAAAATTAAAAATTAAAGTAAAAAATGAAGAAATTTGATTTTATTATATATTTACTTGGCTTCGATGGTGATTTTGGCTTATATCTTGAACTAGATTTCGGTCTGGCACTCTTCTGTCGTTGTTTCTTACGCCACCTACCCGCAGCGTTCATAACTGACAGCGTAGCGTTTTTATTCGCACACAATTCACGATTATTCTCTTTAAAATCTTCATTCCAGATGCTAAATACTGATAATCCTGTGTTATAAAGTGGCAGGCCCAACAAATCAAAGAGATCATGAAGCATTGGCTTTTTTACCGACTGATCAGCATCACAATCATTACCCAAAGCTGGACTTAAGTTAACCTACAAAAAAATATTACGCCATCTATTGATAAACACCACTTAATACTAAAAAATACCTCTAATAACCAGGGTTTCAATAAATGGTCAATTAAAACATCAAAACCAAAAAACTCAAAACAATTCGACGTTGGAGGCACTTGTGGCACTTGACTTAAGACAGTCAACACAACCAAAACACTGATTTTCTGCCATAACAACCAATCAGAGATTCCCGCTTGTCTAAAATATCTCCGTAATTGTTTCAAGGTCCATTTACACCCCGAACCAACTCTATCCTTCATCTCAGCATACCCAGGACCCAATTTATTAATACTACTATTCGTCAAATGTCGAAACGGATTTCGTAAATCATTCAATGTGAATTTATCCGTGCCGAAACGTGCTAATCCCTCTCTGTACATATAGATCGTCAGCGGATGATACGATGGTATGCAGACATACAGTCGCAGATCGAACTTGTAGCCGCCGATCAATAGCGGGCGCTCGATGTACTTCTGGACGATCGTGTTCGTGTCGTAGTTCAGTTCGCTGAGATTCTAAAAATACAACCGTGCTATTGTTAACACTCACACACACACACATCGGGAAGCAGTGCGAATGATGTAGAATGGTGTAAGATGTGTCATTGTAGCAGTGCGGCGTGTCGATTACGTACTCGAAATAGGAAAATGCCACGGCCTTGACTCTGAGCTACAGGTTTGCATATCCATATGGGATTCGCGTCGAAATAGCCCTCGGACTGATCCTTGGCGTTCATCGTGCGTGGCTTGTTGCATTCGGCGGCGAGTTTTGTATATTCTACTGGGAGATTATATCCATGCGGACTAAAACAATCAAACAATCAGCATAAAAATATTTTATTACGTTGTTTGGGTAGCTGTAGAAAACTAACCTAAAGTCGTAGATGTTTCCGTAGATTTTTTTCATACAACGTAGATGGCGTACCAGGTTATCTTTACGACATATTGACGAGCCTTTAGGGATGTGATTAATGTACTATAAACACAAAACAAAAAAACAAAAATTAAATTTTTAGGTTAAAAATAAGTAAATTTCAATTAATACCTGCCAGGAGTATAAATTACGATGGTAATTAGCAGGAAATCCTGAGGCTTTCCACCATAAATTCCATTGGTCACCGGAATCTAAATTATATTCTTTCCAACCACGTTCTAAACAAACCTGAAACAAGAAAATTTGATAAAAAATATTTTTTTATAAATTTTGTTATTTTTGTCAATTTAATGCTCTAAATTCCATGTTTAAATAACAAATAAAGTTTCCAAACTAGAATAGCTTATCCGTAGAATAACCTAGTTTGCAAAAGGTCGCATAGTTTCCAATTCCTTGCCACTATCAGTGAGTGATCCTTAAAATTTTAAACTTCCAAGATTCTATCAACACATTTTTGTATCTACAACATACTGAAATGGCATAAGGTCAAGAATTTCGGGTCGAGCAGCAAGGAAAACTTTGACCTTTCGCCACAAATTGGAATTTGCTTCAGTGAAGCGTCAGTGCATGCGTCAGTACTGTAATTAAGTAATGCAGTAGAATCTTTTCCACCCTATAACGTGCAAAATGTAATTTTACAACAAAATTCAAAACGCGCTATAATTATAATAATTACTTGTTAACTCTTTAATTATTGCGTCTGAACTTATTCGTTTATATAAATAAATTGGATGAAATTGTATAATCTGACTGACGACTTGTGTATATATTTTTCAATAACGTGCGTTCCGAAAATCGTCGTGAACTATTAATGTCTAATGTCTAATGTCTGGCGAAAATAGCGGTGGAAACAAAAATAGCTAAAACGCACCCCGAGTTGGATATTCAGACTGTTTAGTGCAGAAAAAAGACGGAATGGCTTTTGGATGATTGCGTGATTATTGAAATTTGCGTAAACGAAAAACAGCGTCGATAGACGTCGTCAATGTCGTCATTGTCGTCCTTCGGTGTTTGATTCTCTGTGTTTTTTTATTTATTCATGAATAATCAAATGTAATTTTTTGCCATAAAACATACAAAACAAACAAAAATTAATTTGTAATAATTTTTATTATGTTTTGAAATATTGAAGTTTTTTAATTCATTTTGATTTAGGTTAAAGTCGGTTTTAATGGTGAGATATTTAACAACGTAACGAATTCATAACGTAATTTCCGTTTTCAGTCAAGCCCATAAAAATAGCACAAACTGAACTTCCATACTATGAGTAAGAATAAATACACACTGCATAAATACAGTTTTATAGCACTTGTGAGAAACGTGATCATTTCTAAATTTACCAGAGTTTATATATTCATGGAGCACTCGCAATTTTCCGGACTTTTCACTCGTAAATCATATAAAAATAAACTGATAATGAATATTCCAACTATACACTAAAATCAATCTTCATTCGCTCATAAATATTGCTGAACTCGGGGTTGAGGCAAATCATAAATAACTGTTGTAAACAATTGACATGCAAATTGGTCGGAAAGTCTTGCGACGTTGCAATTGTTGGCTTCATTTAAAATTAAATGCATGTTTTCATTTCGTTGTCACCACGGTATCGCGAACGCATTAAACAGTAAGGAGTCGTGACCGAAATGAATACATCGCGAGAACAAGTTGATAACACAAATTTATCCGGCCCGAAAATCCGCATGCATCGTTGACTAATAATAAAACGTGAGCAGTTTATTTGGAGTAAGTAAAGTAAGTAACGGATGGCGTGCACGGAAACAGCGGAGCGTGTAAATAGAAATATTGATAGTAACGTACAATGTGCATACAAAGTGTTAACATTTATAAAAATATATTTCAATATTTCAATAGAGATACGTATGCAATTTGAGTGTTAAACGTTCGACTGGTTGCCTATATAGGCAAAAATTTTCTTTATATTTTCTTTATTTTTGTAAGTTAAACTTTGATTTTTGCATTAATGAAGTCTGAGACATGCAATATATTAAATACTTTCTTTATTTCACACCTCCCATGTAATTTCTTGGAAAATTAAACAAAATGTAGTTTATGTAGCTGTAAATATTCTTTGATAAAGTGTAGTATTCAACATGTGTGTATTTATGTTCATAAATCACCCCAAAAAGCGTAATAAAATCGTTTGATTAATACTATACAATTACCTGCATCAACTCTATAAAAATAAATCAAAGATAATAATACATATATTAAGACAGAAAGAAAATTATCATAAAATAAAAATTGCATAATGGTTTTTTTCTACTTTCACCTTTAAAACGCCTGTTTTCTACGGTTTTGAGACACAAAAAATGTTTTTTTTTTTTAACATAAACGATTAAAACCGTGAGTAAAGTACGTTAGTCACAGCCTTTAGTCACGAGGAGGAGCATGCGCCTGCGTATTTGGCTACGATGCAGCACAAAACCATATGAAATGTCATGTGCAGTTAGTTAAACAAACGAATTTCGAAGATTTAAAGTAAAAAAGTTCAAATACAAAAATTAAACATGGAAATAAAGTGAAAGTTTGACTAAAATTCCCTTTTAGCCACTTGATTTTTAAAATACAATTTTTTTTCCGCTGTAAATTTATGTTTTAAAAAGATAATTTGTATATTTGATGATTCTCATTGCTTGAACAATCGCAAAATTTTGCGGACCGTTGAATACGTTTTGTTTTATTTTTGTTCACCTATTTTAAATTACAACGCGCCACGCTGCATTAAATAAATGTAAGGAAACACAGTAACACCAACGCGTGTTGATACAGCACCAGCTGATCACGATTTATCGCATCAAACGAAAACAAAAAGCGAGTAAATGACACAATTTAAACCGGTGACTTGTGATATTGTTACTATTAAACACGCTGTATACACTTTTTGAATGATTGCGTTACCTGTGTAAGCAGTTGTGGTCCGCTACCGGCATCGTTCAGCCTGAATGTGAATGGGCCCTCGCCGAAACATTCCTCGTGCATTTCCCCGTCGATATCCTGCGAAGGAAAAATAAACACAAAACTTCCTCAAAACTTTTATTACTATATGATTACTCGTATATAACAAAAAAAAAGTTTCTAAAAAGTAAGAAACTAAATACGTAAGGATCTGATAAGAACGTGATGAAAAGAGACAATGATTAAATGAGCTATAAAATATAGCGCTAAAGAATGAAAATATTATTTATGGCTGTTATATTTGCGTGTGCGAAATAAATATCAGCAAAAAATTTCCAAACAAAAATTTTAATTTTTGTAAAATCTTTGAAATTAAATATAATGTGATGGAAAATACCTTTTAGCGTTGATTAATTATTTATTGAACGTAATATTTAAATTTTGTTTGAATTTTCAATGAATATCGTAAATATGTCACGAGTTAGATCGAAGCCCAGGACGAAACGACGTCCTCGCGGCAAGCACCCCAAGCCGGCACTAAATGACACCGAAATGCGGACGAGAATTTATAGGAATGCGAAAATGCGAAAACGCCAGCCCGGGGAGCACGTGGTTGCCATCCCCTAACATTCCAACATAGTTGCCAGCCGCCCCCCACCATTTTAATGATATTTCAGCCCTTCTTTCTCAGCATGGGGGTATAATCATCGTTTACGTGCTTTATTAACCTTTGCACGGGCTAAAATTCTAATTTTATCGTCTTATCTACCTTACAGGATCATGAGAATTAAGATTAGGGCTTGAAACATATTAAAATAAAGTGTAAATGGTTAATAAATTAATTATTAATTGATTTAAATATTTCTAAGCAAATGTTTCATGTTTCATGTTGGAAAGATATTAAATAATTTAAGTTTAATAAATTCGACGACACGCGATGCTTTTAATAAACATTAAATTAATACAAAAGTAATAAAAACAAAATGTAATTAAAATCAGCGCGGTGGATAAAAGTTTGTGCAATTTGCGCAGTAATAAATTATAAAGTTATTATTCAGCCGTGAAAAAAGATGTTGTCGCGTCAATATTTGAATCACTTGTAAACTCAAAACGATAAAGTCGCGCAACAAAATTTAAAAGAATGTAAATTAGCGTAAAAAATCCTATTTGTCACGGCAATCTAGAGCTTCGGTTTCAATTGAATCACGTAATGACCAATTATACGCAAACTGGCTACAAGCTCGACATCAGCATAAATCGTACTCGCAAAATTGGGCATTGTTGGCCGAAAACGAGCAAAATGATGACCGAACAAATGGCGAAATAACTGCTCGCGCTGATCGCCGGTATTTTAGTTTATTTAAATAACTAATTATTATCGAGAAGCGCCGGACAGGCCATAATGATGCATGTAACCGAATTGATAAAAATAAACCAGCGGCAGAAGTTTTCTTTTCGGCTTTCGGCGGGCGATAAGATGAAATTTAAAACTAGAGCGGCAGAGCGCTTGCGGTGTGTGATAAACCGCGCAACTTATTGATAATCGGTTTCTCTCGAGATTGACATTGCTTATCGTCCTGTTGGACGTATATAAATGAATCAAAGGATTAATGAAAGCAGTGGACTGACGTCCCGCGCGACACGATGATCGTATCCGATATTGATTTCGCCGATGTTACTGTTAAACTCAAACCTAATTGCTTTCTCGGTTGCCTGCTGATTGTGATTTTAATTAACCCAACCACGGCGATTTTACAATATGGCGGACAGCAATCATCATCAACATCATCATCATCATCAACATCGGCGTCTTTTAATCAAGAATTTCAAAATTTCTACAGTTCTAATAGTTATCTAACAATGGAACAAAAATCCACCTATGAAAAATATTGGAATTCATTGGTTACCGGCAATATAAATTTTATTTTACAAAATCTTCGTTGGATGGCGCAGGAAGGGAACTTTGATGATTATTTTATGGCTTTGAATTATCTCGTTTATGTTCATGATAATCACATGCAGAATGCGCGACTTTTGGGGATTATTGAACAGCTTATCAATGAAAGTCTTACGCAAAACATTGTGAACTCTTCGATTTTTTTGACGAAAAGTGTGACTTACAACATCGTTAAATATCTCCTTACGAGGTTCCAAGCAAACAGTGGTAAGTTATTTATTAATATAATTAAAAACAAAAAATAATTTTTCTGCGTTTTTTTAATTTTTAAATAGAACCAGTTGGAGAAGTGAATTTCTCTGTGATTGATTTCGAAGCATTGAGAAACGATGATTTCAACAGACTTATCCTGACTCTGAATTCTGGCCAATCTGAATATTATAATTTAATGGTGAATTATTTGAAATCTATGCCAGCGTGGCAATATCAACAGATTGACTTCACGCAATCAACTAGGACTATCCTCAAACAAATATTCTCGATGATTTTGAATACTGAATCATCTGGACAACTTCAACAAGCGAGTAAATATTACTTGGAGTTGTTTAATAAACAAGAAGTTGAATTTCATACCCAGCAGACTTACATACACACATTTAATGAGCTTGTTAATTTTATTCCGAGCTTCAATTCGACTTATCGGAATGTTTTGATTAATTTTTTGACTTCGGGAACTATGGTTTATGATTTGATACAGTTGGCTGGACCACCAACGGCTAGCCCAGCGTATTTGTATAATCTACTCCTAAAGGGTTTACAATCTTCTAAAATTACTGGAATTTTAAGAGAGGCTTTCCAATTTTATTCGCAGTATTTCCACAGTGTGAATACTGTTACAGAAGTTACAAGATCTATTCCTTCGTTTACTCAATCACCTGGAAGAGAATATTATCAAATTTTGAATGGATTTATGAATAGTGCTCAGTTTAGAACCATCATGGGAACAGCTATAAATCGTTTGAATTTGAAATCGACACATTTACTTCAGGATATTTTAATGATGCTTCAATCGAATGCTTTTGTATCAGCTGATATCAAGAAAGCTGCTTCGTATTATTTGGAATATTATAATGCGATGTCTGTTAGACAAGAATATCATGTTGATCAACTGTTTGGAATGATTCCGCAACCATCCATGGACTCAGAATGGATGTTTTATAATAATTTGAAGAATATGTTTGCGAGTTCATCGTTCCTCAAAATAATCCAACAGAGTAATTTACAGGGGATAACTGATCAGAGATTACGCTTGAAAATGATTTTGATGAATGCTATGAGGAGTCAATGTTGAGTGGACAATTTAAACAGGCTATTTCCTATTACTTCAAGTCTTTGTTCCATGAAAATATTCAAACAGGCAATTCAAATTCATACTTCAATATGAATACAAATTCACAGTCGAATTTTAATTTCCTGCTTCAAAAACTGCAGAGTCTTCATGGTGATAGTCGAATGTATCAGATAATGGAATCATTTTTGAGGAGTAGCATGGCCTATCAACTGTTCCAACAAGGAAGTTATAATTATCTGCAAGCATTGAATATGATTATGTCTAGTGGATTTGTTTCTGCAGAAGTGAAGAGAGCTGCTTCATATTATTTGGAGTATCTGAATTACTTTAATGTCAAACAACAATATGGCGTTGATAAACTGTTTACTTTGATTCCACAAACACAATTTGGGCAAGATCATGGATATTATGAGAAAATGAGGCAATTATTCACAAGTACATCGTTTTTGAACATCATCAAACAGAGTAATATAACTGTGGGGAATGATCAAAGTAAAATGCTACATGATATTTTGCTCAAAGTTCTTCAGTCTCTCCAGATGAACTCGGAATATAGACAGGCGATACAGTACTACTTTAAATCAATGTACAATGAAGATGCGTCAATGTTCACGAGCGGATCAGGTGGGTTTTTGGGAGGATCTGGAATGGTTACGGGCGGATCAGGAGGGTTTTCGGGCGGATCAGGAGGGTTTTCGGGTGGATCAGGAATGTTTAGGAATGGATCAACTGGTTTTGTCTCTAGATTCCAATCAAACTTTGATTTCCTTCTTCAAAAACTACAAAACCTTCATGGGGACAGCCACATGTATCAAATAATTGAATCTTTCATGAGAAGCAGCGCTGCTTACCAACTTTTCCAACAAGGAAGTTACGATTACATCCAAGCATTAAATATGATAATGTCCAGTGGATATGTTTCTGCTGAAGTCAAGAGAGCTGCTTCTTATTATTTGGAATATCTGAATTACATCAATGTGAAGAACAAATATGGTGTTGATCGACTCTTTACTTTGATTCCTCAAACACAATTTGCTCAAGATCAAGGGTATTATGAGAAGATGAGGCAATTATTCACTAGTACATCATTTTTGAGCATCATTAAACAGAGTAATTTGACTGTGGTGAATGACCAAAGCAAAATGCTACATGATCTTCTGCTCAAAGTCCTTCAAAGCCTCAATATGAATTCGGAATATAGAGAAGCAATTACCTATTACTTTAAATCAATGTACAATGAAGATGCGTCAATGTTCACGAGCGGATCAGGAGGATTTTCAGGAGGATCAGGAGGGTTTTTGGGTGGATCAGAAGGGTTTTCGGGAGGGTCAGGAGGGTTTTCAGGTGGATCAGGAGGGTTTTTGGGCGGATCAGGAATGTATAAAAATGGATCAACTGGTTTTGGCTCTAGATACCAATCAAACTTCAATTTCCTGCTTCAAAAACTACAAAATCTTCATGGAGACAGCCGCATGTATCAAATAATCGAATCTTTCATGAGAAGCAGCGCCGCTTATCAACTTTTCCAGCAAGGAAGTTATGATTACATCCAAGCATTAAATATGATAATGTCAAGTGGATTTGTCTCGGCAGAAGTAAAGAGAGCTGCTTCTTATTATCTGGAATATCTTAGTTACTTCAATGTCAAAAACAAATACGGTATTGATAAACTTTTCACTTTGATTCCTCAACCACAAATTGGTCAAGATAGAGGGTATTATGACAAGATGAAACAACTATTCACAAGCACATCATTCCTAAACATCATCAAACAGAGTAATATGACCGTGGTAAATGACCAAAGTAAAATGCTACATGATCTTCTGCTCAAAGTGCTTCAAAGCATGAATTTAAGTATGGATTACAAACAAGCAATTTCGTACTACTTCAAATCAATGTACAATGAAGATGTTTCCATGTTTACGAAATCACCAATAATGTTTGGAACACAAATTCAAAAACCTGTGTACACCGGAGGATTAATTTCATCCCCATCTGCGGGATCATCAAATTATGACTTTTTACTTCAGAAACTTGAAAGTCTTCATGGTGATTATCACATGTTCCAGGTGATTTCATCATTTATGAGAACCAGCATGGCTTATCAACTCTTCCAACAAGGAAATTTCGATTACCTGCAAGCGCTTAGAATGATGGCATCCAATGCATACATACCACTTGAAGTTAAAAACGCTGCTTCTTATTATTTGCAATACCTGGATTATTTCTCATTGAAACAAAAGTATAACGTGGATAATCTATTCTCAATGATTCCACAACCGAAAATCGGTGTAGAAAAAGGCTATTATGACAAGATAAGATCTTTATTCACAAGCACAGCTTTCCTGCAGACCCTCAGACAAAGCAATATGACAATTGTGAATGATCAGAAAACAATGCTGCATGACATGTTACTAAATGCACTTTCAAACCTCAACTTGGGCGTGGAATACAAACAAGCTATTCAATACTACTTCAAATCTGTTTTTAACGAAGAAATATCCATGACAGGAAAATCAAAAGTTCAATCAAACTTTGATATCATGCTTCAAAAGCTCCAAAGCCTTCATGGTAACAATCGCATGTATCAAATAATCAAATCATTCTTAACCAGCAACACAGCATATCAACTCTTCCAAAATGGTAACTTTGATTACCTCCAAGCATTGAACATGATAAGATCCAGTGCTTTTGTATCATCAGAAGTCCGAAGCGCTGCTTCATATTACCTAGAATATCTTGATTACTTCGCTGTCAGGAATAAATACGGAATTGATAAACTCTTCACCATAATACCACAACCATCAGTGGACTATGAAAACATGTACTTTAGAAACATTCAGAATTTGTTTACAAGCACAAACTTCCTACAAATCATCAAACAGATGAATTTACCTGTGGTAAGCGATCAAAAAATGATGCTGCATAATATCTTGACCAGCGCTCTGAAAAACATCAATCTAAACCAGGAATACAGACAATCTATCTTGTATTATTTGAAATCAATGTACAATGAAGGATTGACAGTCCAACAACAGCAATATATTGAGTATTTACTGCAGGAATTACGCAGTGTACAAATTGATGGAAATCTCTTTGGATTGATTTCATCATTCTTGACTAGTGATCAAGCTTATATGATATTCCAAGATGGTTTTGATTTCTCACAAAGTGCTTTCACTGCTCTTGAACAGATCCTAGAAAAAATGGGAGGCATGACCTATTTGGATGCACAAACTTTAAGGGCTGCTTCATATTACAAACAGCAAGTTCATCAAACACTTCAATATGAAAGTATGGTGATGACAAAGGTACAACATGCATTTACAAGTCTACAGGGTGTATCATCAAATATTGTATCAAAATATCAAACAAATTTAGCGAATTTCCTACAAAGTCAAGAATTGCATACTATTCTACGTCATGCACACTTTAATTACAACATGGATGAACGGGAGATACTCTATAACATTCTGATGATTGTTCAGGAGGATGTCAATGTGGCTAATGAGATTCGTGAAGGAGCTTATCACTATGCCAAGTATATTCTGGAACCACTTTTGGGAAATATTCCATGTAATATGGATGCGTTGATGAGTTTCCTCCCACAACCAACTAATTATCTCTCAAATAGATATTTCAACACTCTGAGACTTTATCTTCAATATGGAGTTCCGAGATTTTTGATTTCTCAGATTGATTTTACCAAAACAGGTCTTAGTCTCCTATTGGATATTCTTCAAGCTTTGGTTTACAGTGATCAAATCCCTGTTGATGTCAGAGGAACAGCTAGATTCTATCTGCAACTGTTTAATTCTAACACTGAATTCTGGGGTGTTAACCTTCTCAGAAACAAATTGGATAGACTTACTCTTCTGTTACCAAGACCTAAGTCTATACACGAAGCACAGTATTACAACTTGATGATCAATTACTTCAAAGGAAATGAGATTCTACAACTGTTGAACACGATTACTTTAAATCTACATAAACCTGATCTGAGAATTTTGAGAGATATCTTAGTTTTGACTCAGAATACAAAATTGGTGTTGACTGATATGAAGATAGTAGCAGATTACTACTTAAAAATGATTAACAAAGGAATGATTGGAGGTGTTTCAAATATTTACTTCGGGAATAATCCAATGACGTTGCCTACAGCGCCAACTATAATAAATCCAGGTTATCTTCCAACTACTGGGGTAGTGGTACCAAGAGGAACACCTCCAATGGTTACTCCTGGACCTGCTATGCCCTCACCAACAACTGTCATGATGCCTTCAGCAGGAACAACAACATTGGAAACCAATCAAGCATCAATGTCTTCTGCTATCAGCAGAATTGAATCCGAATTTAATTCTATGAATATTTCTGAGACATACCAATCTGACCGTCAGACTTTACTGAATTATCTTCATTCCCCATTAGGAAAGAATCTTATATTATCTTCAGGAATCAGTTTAAACGCTTCAAATGCTAATTTACTCTCGCAGTTTATCCAGACAGCTGCGCATACTAATGATATCCCGATGGATCTCCGACTTGCTTCAGAAAGATATGAGATGGCGCTGCCATCTTTAAAACAAACAGCTCTTATGACTCCATGGGCGCATTTAATACCTCTTGATAATTTATTCCATAAAATCGTACCGGCAACCATAAACACAAAATCTATTGATTTTATTATTTGCTACAACGCTATTGATAGATATCTCCACACTGAGGTACCAGCAATAATTCGTCAGGATACTAATATTGATTTGAAGATTGCACCAATGGAACTCCTACAAGATTTCATGTTAATAGCTCGTGAAATTGGTTTTGCAGACAGTGAAATCACCTTGATTCAAAGTCAAATCCAACCAACTCCGTTTACATTCGGTGTGATGCAGAAACCTCACCTTGATCACCTTTACAAACTCTGTAAAGCCTTCCAATTAATACAACTCCCATCAGGGAAGGAAAACATGAGATATTACTACGCAGTTGATAATTTCTTCAGGAGTAACACAATGTATGAACTCCTCCAACAGAGTAACATAGATTTCAGTCAAAATCAACAGGATCTACTCAGGACAATCTTCACAGTGATCATCAACAGTCAAAACAGTGCGATATCAAGAGAAATACTCCAAGCTGCTATTTATTACAATAATGAAATGTATAAACCTACATTACAGAATGAATTGGATTATGTTTTCCATTTGGTACCAGCTCCCCAAGGAGAACAAGCAACTCAAGCTTATAACACCTTCAATCAATATATCCACAGTGAACAGGCAACAGAAACCTATCAAAATCTAAACTTTATGCATCAACAACCAGGTTTAATATTGAATAATATGCTGGATATGACAAGTCACAATGAAAAAATATCTGAAAGTGTCCGGAGTGCAGCAGCATACCTTCAACAAAATAATCAAGAATGGCAGATGCAGGAGAGTCAATCAATGCAAGCAGCTTATGCTCAGAACTCGATGCATTCCATGAAATCTTTGGGATATGCTCCGATACCTATGCCTATAACATCTCAGGCACCTATTGCTCTACCTCTGACAACTCAACAACCATATTTTGACTTTAAAGTTTTTGGTGCGCAGATCCCACCGGTTGCATACCCTGAAGAAGAACGTTTCAGGACTGTTCTGATACAATTCCTTGGAAGTGATTTGATATATCACTGTTTCAATCAATCAGCACAATTTGGAACGGATCTAAATTCATTTAAAACAATTCTGACTCAGTTATCAACAAATCCACAAGTTCCTGCTGATGTGAAGCAAGCTTGTATCTACTACTTGAACCACGCTCCATTCTTTGATTATAAATCATTGATTAGTCTTATTCCGGAACCTGCAAGACCTAATCTCAAAAAACTCTATGAACATATGGTGCAATTCTTGTCTAACAGTGCGTTAATCAACAAAGTGACTCAGAATATCAACCTAAGTGCATTTGCTTCAAATGAATTGATTCTGAAAGAAATTCTAAATCTGGCGGAGCAATGTGATTGGTTGGATGAACCCACAAGGGTTGCAGCAACATATTTCAAAACTTTGATCAAATCAGAAGCTATATCGATGCAAAGAGTTTTCACAAAGACTTTGGATCTCAGCGATATATTCAACGATGTGTTTGATTTCTCGGTGTTTAGTAAGATGCAATTCGATGCATTCCATCACTTTTGGTCGTATGTCAACAAAGACACCCAGGAACTTCTATCGTCACCCGGGTTTGAATTCTGGACGAGTAACATCAAGCGGGGGGCATTCACCAATAAATTCTTGGCTGCTCTTAGTACTAAACCTGGTGTTCCTGGGGATGTCCTGGAAGCCATCACGGTTTTGACTCCGCTAGTACAGGTCACCAACGGAGGCGCTTTGGATCTCTAGCTTTATTGTATTTAATAAGTCTTTATAAGTTATGTGGTTATCAGGTTTTATAATTAAATCATGCACGTGAATTTTCGTTATATAAAACAACATTTTATCATTTATTGTGGTGATGGTACAAATAAAAATGGGTTCAATGTGGTTTTGTGTGTGATAATGATAATTATAATAATCTAAAAATAACCTTACTTATTTATACTTAATTAATGGGTTTATCTTGTTTCAATGTGGACGTTAATGCCGTTTAGAGATGTTAGAACTGTTTCTGATGCTATTTGGAGTTCTTCATTGGATGGTTTGAATCTAAATTTAAGTAGAAGGGAGCTGAGCATTGATTTCATCTCCAACATGGCGAATTTTTGTCCGATGCAGTTTCTAGGTCCGGCACTGAATGGTAGGTAGGCGTAGTTTGATCGTTTTGCACAGTTTTCTGATGTGAATCTTTCTGGGTTGAATTTGTTTGGTTCTTCGTAGATTTCACTGCATCGATGGACAGCGTAGAGAAGGATTGTTATTTGTAGGCCTTTAGGATATACTTCACCATCTTAAATAATACATTTAATATTTTAATAAAATAAAATTAAAATAAATTTTTTACCGTAAACGACGTTATCTGTAAATTCTCTGCCAATCATAGGAACTGGAGGGAATAACCTCAAACTTTCTTTGATAACCATTTCAAGATATTTCATTTCGTTTAGTTTTTCCATTGTGATGGTATTATCTTCACCCAATATTTTAGATACTTCTTCAAAAGCTTTTTCTTGGACATCTTGATGTTGTGATAGAAGATATAATGTAAAAGACATTCCTGAAGAAATGGTATCGTGGCCCTGTGATAGATAATGTTATTTTTGTTTATATTTTCATGTAAATTTTGGCATTACTTACTGCAAACATAAATGTATCAACTTCTTGTCTAATTTCTTCGTTAGTTAAAGTGCCTCCTTCTTCAGTGGAGCATTTTAGAAGCAAATCTAAGAAGGCGAGTTTGTTTTTTCCAAAACTATCATCTAGGTCTTCTTCATTGTCTTTACTTTCTTTACTTTCTTTTTCAGCTAGTCTTTGACGTTTTACTTTGATAACCCCTTCTGTGACACCATGAAGAAATGCCGTATTCTTTTTATCCGCTTGGTACTCTGGGGACATTTGATAGATCCAATCGAATTGACGCCATATTGAAAACGTGCGTTCCACTACCATTTTGGTCATGTGTTTGACTGCTTTGACATAATGTGAACCATTTCTTTGTTTTAAAGCGCCTATTGGATTTCCCATGGCAGTTTCTATTAAATAAAATTTAAAAACATTAAAAATATATTTAAAAACAAGTTTTTTAAATTATTTACCGCAAATCACATCCAAACTACAAAGTAAAACATCCTTATGTATATCAACCATTTTCCCATTAGATCCTTTCCAATGCTCAATGAGATTCTGTGCGTTTGAGTGGAAAATCGGAATACAATCATTTAAAATCTTAAAGTGGAATGTCGGAGTAAGCAGACGTCGATGCTTCTTCCACTTAGGATTCGACGCTGTTAATAAACCAGTTCCCAACCATTTATCAAGAAAACGGTAACTCAATGATTTCGTAATTTGTGTCGTTGATGTTACCAAAAACTCAATAAATTTCAAATCAGAAGTCACTATATTCGTATCAGCGCCAAGAAAAAGTCTGTATGTAGGACCATATTCTTTCGTATACTGCATCATCACAGGTAAAACATCTAAAACAAAAATTATGCATATCCATGCCAAATCATCTTAATAAAACTTTATAAAACCACATGTAACCGCATGTGACCTTGAAGTAAACTTTAGACAAACGCGTGTTAAGTTTAAGGTCGCAGAAATTCACTTAAACTAAAAATATTATTTAAGGTTAATTTATGCATGCACTAAATAAGATATTAATATTTTATGATATAAAACTAATCAATTACCTGTAGTTCCTTTAAAATCCAACCCATTACCAACCAAAGGACGTGATGGCGGCCCCGGAATATGAGCAATTCTACTTAAAAACACCTGTCTCTCCACATATTTCTGATATAATTTAAATAAAACAATCACTATTAGTGCCCAGATTAATAATCCTAATGTTAACATCGTGACAGTTTCTTAAAACGTGTGCGAGAGTTCAAGACTCGCGCACAAATGTCCCGTTTCCGTGCCGATTATTTTTACGGCCAAAAATTATTTATCACTAAAAATATGAACGATAATATTATTTGCACTATGTATAGTTCAGTTATTGGCACCTAGTAAGTCTAACGCGCAGGTGACTTGCACAATGAAAATAAAAATTCAACTTATTTTAAACTTTTGTATGACATTTGAAATTTAATTGCATCGAATGCATGATACAGCAAATTAAATAATTATCACTATAATGATGTTGAATAAAATATTTGCAAGTCACTTTTTACTTTACAAAAGTTACAAAACAACTGACCGCGGTTAAAATTTAAGTTAAAGTCAAAGTGTGCAAATGTGAAGACTGCACAAATTAAGAAAGAGTTATTTTAGTGGGAGAAGAGTACAAGGAGCAGGTAGTTTCGGTAAAAAAGTTTCACTCTCATTATTGAGCCTACCAGACAAGACAACCTTGAGTTCGACATTCAGCAAGTAAAATACAACAACACATTATGTAATTATATATCTATATGTAATCATAAATTAAAAATACACTTTAATTTGCAATAGAGAAGGAATTTTCACATGCTAAATATGGCGGGACAATGCATTCGCATGTGCGTTGAATATTACTACTCCATTGATTTTTAGCAACAACTTGTATTTGATCACCGATGTTATAGGTATTGGATCCAAATGTACATTGACTTTTACTTTCGGGGGCTTTTGTAACCAGAGTCGTTGAAGTTACATCTTCAGCTGAAATTTATTAATATAAATTTAATTTTTTTGGTTTTTGGTTTAAAAATTTTGAATGATTTGGTATTACCGCATAAAAATTCGGCTGGACAACACAGCGCGTCATCATTGTAATAAACTGGTGCGCATTTCTTTTCCAGTTGTGTGGAGCTACGTAATTCCATGTCACATGGCCTTCTTATGCAATAAGGTTCTTCGTATATACCGCGGAAACCTGGTGTGCAGATGCAATTATAGCAGGTGCCTTCTGGTGTGAAGACTTGGTCTTCTTTGTATGTTGTGTTGCCTACTTGGCATTCATATACAGGTCCAGTAGCTAAAATTATTTTTTGTTTATATGTTATTAATGTTTTTATGAAGTTTGATTTGTATACTAACGACAAAACTCTGTTTGGCAGCATCTTCTTAGTTCTCCAGTGTTGTAGCAGCCGTCAGTATTGGGACCAAAGAAACAATCGATTATAAGTAAGTTTTCAAATGTTCCTTTACTAAAAATTATTGTTTATTATTTTTTGGTTGTTTTTGACATTTGGTGTTAAATAATATTACCTGTTTGGTTCAGCTCGACATTCAAAACCTTTGTTACAATAACTTCCGTCAGCAATATCGCCATTATTTAATTCTTTACCGTAAAACAAACACTTTCCATTTGGAATAATATAATCTTTACATTTGTAACTATCAGGACATGGTTGTGATCCTGTCATTTGAGGTTTACATCCTAGTTCTTCATAAAAGTGAATTCCGTTTTTGTCGCATGTTTCATAGTCAATTTGAGCAAATATTCCTACAATATTTTAAAACCCATAAATAATAATAACTCTTACATGTTTTATTTTCATTTATGTTTTAATGCTTACCGTAAAATGATGTAAACAACAAAACCACTAAACAGTTCACTTTAAATGAGTGTGTAAACATTTTTATTGAAAATTACAGTTGTGTATTGTGTATGTTAGGTGTCTCAACGTTAAGCAAATTGTTCTGCGCATTTACAAATATTTCCAGTGTCTTATAAACCGTAGCAGTGAATAATCAAAAGGAGGATTACTCATTCCGTGTGTAAACGTGACACGAATATTGCACTGTATTTGCGACTCTGAAGGTGTGGGTGTAGTTTATAAATAAAATTGTAAATTATAATTATGGTACAAATGCGATGTTGCAAAAAAAAACAGAACAGAAACAGTTGGAAAAACGTTACATGTAATTCACAGAAATGTTATCTGTTTTTCATTGCACAATTGGTGTGTATATTACAAATTATTGTAGGAATGTTGTTATGGTACTTACGAGTTCATCAGTAACATTGCAAATTATTGCTTGTTCATTTTATAAAAATAATTTAACATTAAAAATAATATAAATATTGTATGGTTAATTTTAAATTAATAGTTTATGCTGACAAAGGAGGGAAAATATTAAAAATATAAATAAACATAGTCGATAACAGTTATGTTGTATTTTTAAATCTAAAAAAATCTTTTATTTGGTAAACCTTAAAATTAATAACAATCATTTAATTTTTCTTCAAATTTAACTGAATATTGATTAACAAGATACACACGCTTGAGATATCCTTATTATTTCAGGATGTACGGTGCTTTAGACAGTTTCTTTTAAGTCTTACGTGTTCCCTAAAAAGGAAAATCAAAATGGTTTAAGATTATGGCACAATTCTGCTAATTATGATTGAGAGACAAGTTACAATAAAACATGTATTGTTATGTTTATGATTATTTCTGTTTGTAGTCAACATTTATGCATTTAGTATTGTAATTTAGGTTGCCTAGCATGACTGCCTACAATGTTTGAATTCAACATGTGTATCTTTATTTTGTTTTGTTTATGACCAGTTTTTTGCTAATACGAGTACAGTATAGTCATCTTTCATATCAATTCATTTCGACACGCTCCGTGAGAGTAGATGTTTGTTATTCCGGCCTCTTCAACCACTTTTCAGGTATTTATTTCTTATTTATTTAATTTTTGCTATAAAAGATTTATCTTTGACGCCCTCCACTTACGCAATTCCTTCAATTGTTAATTCTCTCATGCGACACCAAATGGAAACTTACTCATACTTCAATGACTATAGAACTTAATTGCACTGATTACACAATTCAATAACACAAATCCGAGTCCAAAGGAAAATCTATTTAAACCAAGCATACGTTTAAATTGCAAATGATACGAATTGGTGGAAATTATGAGAGTTTTTTCCTTCGGTTTCCCACGGCCATTCGCAGAAACAACGCACACAATACAAAATAAACACAATCTAAGAAATTAAATTGAAAACAACGGAAAATTATGCACATAAACTAAATAGGCACGAGGCAATACAAGAACATGTTAACATAAACCAAACTAAGGCTTATGCATATCCATGAAGTATACGAATACAAGCACAACATTTAGCAATAATTAAATGCAAGAAAAGCCGAGGAAAAAGAAACATAGTGGAACACTTTATCTTGGACTCTAGAATAAACAAACAAATCAGCAATATAATTATATACAAAACCTTGATCGACAATACTGGCATTATGAAATTATTGCAAATATTATATTTTATGTTTGTTTAATCATAGAAGTAAATATTAATTAATTTGTAGTATTATCTATTATGATTTCTAGTAGTTTATAATTACTTCTACTTTGATAAATAAATAATTTTTATTTATTTTTGTTTTTTAATTCGAAATTCATGATACATTTTATAATATTTTATTTTTACGTGTATTAAATTAGAAATAGTGTGGAAAAAATGTTTCTGATAATAACCTGGAGACAAAACATGAAAAATTTAAAAAAAAATTAATTTTTCTGCTTCTGTCTTCAAATCACCCATTTTTCCATGATTTTGAGGCACAAAAAGTGACACTTTAAACACGGATGGCCAAAGCCGTGACTAAAGTATTTTATTGTAGTCAATCGAGTGTTTAACAACGTGGTACTTACACTTGATACTTAATATACTATTAAATCAAATTAAAATTAAATATTATTCAAAAAAAATTCAGAAAAATTTTGATTATCAACAAAAAAATAAAAATAAACATTTGACACCTTGAAAAATAACAAAGAAAGTTAATTCAGTTCAAGTAAAATAATCCCACGTTAGTATAAACCAACTTAAGTCATACTTGTCAAACTTAAATTGAAATTTATAGCTCAGAATTTTATTTTCTCTGCCTTTGAACCGATTTTATCACATAATGTACTCTGGCGAGTAAAAAGAAGAAACTAATAAATTTATTGACATTGACACTGTTGACAATTTATTACCGCAATATATAACAGCTTGTATTTATCTTACGTTTACAAACATACATGAATTTCTTTGGAAACACAACTAATTGTACACTTTATGCAACACGTCAAAAGTTGAGTATGTTTGAATGTTCGAGAATGTGTGTGGTTCGCGCGAAATTCTGTGTGGTTTCCTCGTGTCGTTCTCGGACATACACTTCTTCAACTCGTATCTATCTCTCTGGTTGGCGTGTTGCTGGCGTCGTTGGTGTCGTTCCTTCGGCGACACGCGGGCGTTTTACTTCGCATTACCGCCGAGTTACTTCATGCGTTCCACGCTCAGCGCTCACCACCTTGACACCCACGTCCCGGTCGTGGATTATTGCTGTTTACGAGCAGGGTTGGCGCAATGCGCGTCGTGTAATTCGCAATCGAAGCGAATCCAAATTTGGAGCACCAGACGCAGACCGGTCACCGAGATACGAGAAACTAACGAGAAACTAACAAGAGACAATGAAACTATCACACAACAAGATATTTTAATGATATTGCATTAATCAAATCAAATAAAATTAAAATGTTTAAATTTATAATAAAAATGAATTGATTTCTTGTCAACAGAGTTGTATTGTTATTGAAACAACCTTGAATGAACATGCAAATGATTTACTTTGAACGCCTCTGCGTCGAAATGCAATTTTACAATGCAAACAAATATTGAATCATTAAATCAATGAAATAAACCAGAAATACAATAATGGCCAAACCGGATGTGGACATGTGGTTGCTTGCAATGCAAGTGAAATAAATTAATGAAAAGTAAAAGTGTCAAACAATAATTGAATAAATATGTAAATGTAGCTATTTATTATAGTTTAGTAACATTAAAAAGTAATTTAAGTCTTCATTTGAACATTTTCAACATTACACACTTCATTAAGCCATTTAATGCCAAAGAAATGGTCAAAGTGTTAATAACTCATTAATTTCGAGTATAAAAAGAAAATTTTGACTGATATTGATTAGTTGTAGTGTGAAATTTGAAGCATCAACATGATGAAGGTAAAAAATACAATTTTTTCATTTTCTAACCTAAAATATTTTTATTTTCAATTTTATAACCTAAAATATTTTATTTTTTATTTAGAGCATTATTTTATTAAGTGCTCTGGTAGCACTAGGCTCAGCCTACCCGCAATTACGCGACTCCTATGGACTCCCCGTCGTCCAAACCCCAAACCAATATGATACACCACAAGTGATCATTCCTTCAACCTCCTATGGTGCCCCAATCGCCCCATCTCCAACCTATGGCGTCCCTTCGAACTACCCAGTTCCAATCGCCAAAATCCCAATCAGAAACACTTACTCATTCAGCATTCCCAAGCAAGTGCCTGTTGTTTCTCCAACATATGGTGTTCCATCTAATGATGTCCCAGCTGCACCAGTTCCAGTCTATGGTGTACCTGCTCCAGCCCCATCTCCAATCTATGGTGTACCAGTTGTAAATGATGTCCCTGCTGCCCCTGCTGTACCTGCTGCACCCTCTCAGGTTTATGGACCTCCACCAACAACTGCTGCTCCCCTAGCTGAACCAGCTGTGGTTTATGGCCCACCACCAGTCCCCGCTCAAGTTTATGGACCTCCACCAACACCTACCACTACAACAACCACACCAAAACCTGTAACAGTCCCTGCTGTTGTATATGGTCCACCTGCTGAAGTTTATGGACCTCCGGCTGTACCTGCTGATACCTACGGACCTCCTGCGGATACCTATGGACCACCAGCTGTTCCTGCTCAGGTTTACGGTGTCCCTACCGAACAGGTGCGTGCACCTAATACTCCCCTAACTCCGCAATTTGCTTCGAATACTGCTTCTTCTTCAGGAACGCCTTCAGCGCCTGCTGGCGTACACAGCGCGTCATCTGGAACCTTCGGGCCGGTTTTCGTACCGCATAGTGTCGTCCCCCTACCGGGCGTAGTCCAGCCATCGCCAGCTATGTTTATATCTCCACCGAGACAACCTGAGGATAGGAATGAGGATGGTGTCTTTTGTGTCTAATGTAATTTTGAGATCTGATTCTGTTGGTATTTATGAAATAAATTATTTCTTTGATTAAAATTATGCGTTGGATTCCGGATTTTACCATTTCGAAACGCAAATTGTTTCGCACGTTGTCGTTGAACTTGAATGTTGAATTATTTTTTATTGTCCGAGCACGACTCGGTCGTCCTACGTGTTTATTAAGCACGTAGGTTATGTTGTGTTATAATTGAATTGGGAATTTCATGATTTTCGAGATTTATTGCTTCATTATCAAGCATTGTGGACTATTATTTTCGGCAGTACACAAAAATGTAATTTATGCATGATCATGAAGTGACATAACCTAAATAATAGGCTACGTAAACTTAACCTTGAAAATAACAGCAAAAAGTTCAATTTTAGCTGTGAAATCAACGAAGAAAAAAACAAACAAATGAATTTAATACGAGTATTATTACTCGGCATGATGTGACACTGTGACATAACCTATATTACAATTTAACCTTCAAATGCCATCACACATCGGTTTTATAGCGACTTTTAATTGAACAATTAATTAAATTAAAAACTAATTAATATCACAAGCATAAAAACATAACTCACACCTAGTTTAATTAACTTTTCTTTCTTCTAACCTCAAATTAGATTTAAATTTAGTTCAAAGGTGTAAAAGTGACAAAAACAATTTGGTTTATTCTGTACAACATTAAAAACACATTCAGCGAAATTAATACTTCTATTGTATTCTGCATTTAGGAGTTTGCTTGTAATCTTATTGTAATGTCACTTAAAAATGTTTTATAGTTGTGCGTTGTGTTTTGTTTTGTTCGGTTTAGAATGTGTGCTATTGTAGACGCGTAAAATTGTGTTAATGCTCATTTTTAACAGCCGAAAAATGACACGTTCGATGCGCGAACACAAGAATTGTGCAAAAATTGAGCAAAACCTTTGCATACATTTACTCTCCGAGATATGCATAATGTGTAAAGATAGTTTACGATATGCTCCTTAAACGTCGCCGTAATTTTGTAATAAGGTGTGTAAAATGTGCATGCGTGTGACGCCATCTATTGGGAAATAGCTCTTTAGTGTATTTTCGTGAACATGTAAAACAATGTTTTGCATTTTGCTTAAGTGTTACGAAAGAAAACGTGTCAATTGACATTTCCTACTTCCTAATCAACATTTTAATGATTTAAACATGTAAGTTATAGTGACTTAAATCAGTTTTACCGCAGACGTTGAATTAATGATTTAAATTGATACGGATTAGTTCAGTTTCTAATTTTAATGCATCTGTCATAACTTGTGACTCAGTTTTCTTTGTTTTTGTTGAAAATATTTTAATATTTCATAATCAAAACGATAAAAGATGAAAAATAAGTCCAGTATGTTGGAATGCATCAACGTCTCCAAATTGAAATGCTAATTCAAGTGTGTGATGTCGTGATGTGCATTTGCATGGCGATTTTGTATGCGACCTCGATTAAATTAATGCACTACACATCCAGGACGTCAAAGTCATCGAAACCAACAAATCCCATCAATCGCTGCGTGAAAAAATGTTCCAATAAAGAAAACCACAACTTAAAAACGCAAAACAATTATAATTACTTTAAAAAATGATGAAAAATGTTACACTAACCTCAAATGTGATGTCATCATGTTATAACCTGTAAAATGATAATATAACCTATTTTTAACGTTTTTGACAGCTTGGCAGTTAATGTAAGCATCGCACGTGTTTGATGTGAAAGATTGTAGGCGAGATCAACGCGAAGTAGCAAGCACATGCTGCGTAAGTAAGAGCAGGAGCAGGCGCGCAGAGTTTCTTAGTGGTTTTAGCAGTGTTTAACCGGCGCTCGCGAGATCATTGCGCATTTGTCGTCGGTACGTTTCGCGTCGCGCTCGCGTTCGCGTTTTCTCTCATTAGCGCACGGCGCGCACGCCGCACGTCGCGCCGATTCAATATCTTTGCATGATTTTCCTGCGACATCACGCGCAAAAACTTAATATTAATAAATCACCGAAAATGACAGCACAATAGAATTTAATATTTAATTTATTGACTTTTCGTGTGATTTATATGCATGATAAAAATTGAAAAAGGTTTTTAATGGTGACACATGTGATGATAACTGAATTGGAAAATTATTGTTTAAGATAAATAATAAACTTTAAATTAAAATTTAGTTTTTGGACTTTCTGAGAGTGTTGAAGATTCAAAAGGAGGAAACATGAAGGGATTTTATTATGCCATCATTTTATTGGTGAGTATTTCATATTTATTTATTTTTTGTTTTATTTTTATTTATTAGTCATACTAAGTTTATTATTGATTATAATTTATAACTAGATTATTGCGGAACTAAAATTTGAAATATTAGCCAAATATGACATAAACTAAAATAGATTTTAACTAAAAAGTTTGTTGACATTTGAATAAGTGTTGTAAATGTAAATTTTTACGATTTTATTGATTTCTTGACCTTCTACATTGTCAACTCGTAGAGGTGCATCCTCTAATTAATTAAAATCAAACAAATCAAAAATGTGTGTAAATAATCATTAATTTTCGCTAAAATTTTTAAAATCTAAAATTTTATTTGCTTAAAAATCGTTAATTGACTTTAAAAATTTACTTAACACAGTTTCTAAATATTTGCACAAAATTCCATTGATTTATTTTATTATTTATCTTAAAATTAAAATTTTTTACCTTTTGAAATACCTATAAATAATATTTATTTATCCAAAAACATTGTAGGTAATCATTACAACATTTCTTTGATGCATTTGAATACGTTTCAATGCATTTTAATGCTGTTTAATTTTGTTTAATGCATCATAATGCATTGCGGCACTATAAATTATCATTATACACGCATAATTTGAAACACACACGTGTAATAATAGTAATATATAGACACAAACACGTCGAAAACATAGAAAACAATTTTACAACAATTTTAAACTTTCATTAACGCACAATTACAGTATAGCTATTTATAGTAGATTGTTAGTGTTTTATTTCTGTTTAATTGCTGTAATAGAAATTGTCATTATAAAAAAAGAGATAAAAAGAATTTTTACGATATTGCTGAGTTAAAAACGTTTTTTTCTTTTGTAAATCGTTATTTATTTATGTTTCCAACACAAAATTTATTTTTTTAATTTTTTCAAAAATTATTTATGGAATTTATTCACTCTTGAACTATTTTTATTTTGAATTTGATTTAAGATACAATCCTTTAACAATTTAAGATTTAAATTGTTCATAAAGTGTGCCGAGTATAAATTGCACGTCGCGCATTTTAATGGCAGTCAATTAGACGCGATCAAAAGAAGAATAAAAATAAAAATTTCATACTTTTTGCGCAGCTCGTCGTGGGCATGAAGTGCTTCGCACATTTCATGCTCATCGTGTACTTCTCGTTGTACCGAATACTTCGCTGCACGTAAATGCTTTATACAATAAACGTGTTGTTCGTAATCGTTGATCTTGCGACTCGAGACACGATGAGTCGCGCGACGCGACTTAAATTCATCGATTGCGATGCATCCATTCGATTTCGCTTTTATTTTCACTCGTTAAAAGTCCTCCTAAATCTTTCTTCTTTAATTTATGTACTCGCATGTTTAGTAAAACAGACGGAAATTAAATCGAGTTAAAATTTTTATTTTTTGTTGTAATATAGGTAAATATGTTAATAAGTTATATAAGATAATAAATCAGATGGTCACACCTTTTTTGGCAAACATAATGTAAAAGAAATGAGAAGAGAAAAAATGTTAATGTCGAATCATATGAGGATCCAGACGATGAGATGATACAATCATCGATACGTAACGCAAGTAAAACGAAGTAATTCGAGCATTACGATGTGAAATCGAACGAAAAAAGCCGAAATTCCAAATTAGTCAGACATGCGTGTTGCTTCTAGACGTGTAGGCCTTAAAAAGCGCCGAAAACTTTCTCAATTTTAACTAAAAACAACATCAAACACAGCGCCATCTATTTTTAAACAGCCGAGAAATTAAGTAATTAAAATATTGAATGAAACAATATTTTTTCTTCTTAAAAATGTTCAATGCACGACATGAGATCAAAATTGAAGTCGTTCCGGTACATAAAGCGTTTTACCACAGGATAACATTGAAAGTGCAAGTGTAGCTCACAAGAAAACATCCGAAATGAATGAATAAAGCAATAAAAGCATAAAAACATGACGACAAAGTATTATAAAGTTGTTAAACCATAAAACTATACATAAATGTTTTTTAAACAACAGACTGAATCTTGAAAGACTAAAAATTAAATTAAAAAGCTTAATAAATTACCCGGAGTTGAGTTGAAGAAGACGCTAAAAAGCTAGTCGGTGAGATGACAGAAAACCAAATTTATTCGGATTATAATTGTTATGAAATTCGAAAGTGAGCACTCATAAAAACATCGTAAACTATACAGTCAACTATGGAGTCACAGGTGTAGATAGTAAATATATTGATATGTTTTGTGAAATGTGAAATAATCTAAGGTTGTAAATTTTTTTACGGCATCGGGACATCGGAAGTTGTTAATATTTCATTAGTGATTCATTAATATGTTTATAACAAGATGGTAAAAAATAATTTAACGGATTAACAACAAGCAAGATGATGCAAAAATTATTGGAATGTTAAAAGAAATTTTTGTTTACTAATATTTATGTTTAGAAAAGAGAAAAACTTGAAATTTTAAGGTTATTTTAAATGACAAGTAATTTTAGATACCTCTATCGAGTAAAAAACATTTTTTCATAATTTTAAGTTTTGTTGACTTCAATATTTGGGAAAATATTAAAAATTACCCAATATATTTACATTTAGAAAGCAAAAAATGAGAAATTTTGAGGTTATTTTAAATGACATACTGTTTTGATACTAGCGCCCTCTATGGAGTAAAAAAAAACATTTTTTAAAATTATTTTATGTTTTGTTGATATTAATATTTGTAAAAATATTGAAAATGACTCAATAAGTTTACAGTTAGAAAACAAAAAACGTGAAATTTTGAGGTTATTTGAAATGACATGTTATTTTAAACACTAGCGCCATCTAGCAAATAGAAAATAAAGTTTTTCTTTTTTCTTTATTTAATGTTTTGTCGACGTTTTGGAAAATATAGAAAATTATACATTATCTGAAATGCCGCAGTGAGTAATTAGTGCCATTTAGAGCTATTAGTAAGTTGTCGAGCATATCGACAGTTAATGCGTGTGTTTACCTAGCCGAGAGCGGCTGATCTCACACCAATCACACACTGTGCAGGAGTATCAAACGGAAATACGCAATTAATCGAAAAGTGAAATTGTTTTCTGCGCTGTCTTCGCTACCATCACACAACGACTAGAAAACTGGTCGCGTCTATTCATAAGTCCATTTATGAATGAAGTTTTATGTCCAATAGTAAAGATAAAGATCACTCCAAATGAACCCAAGGTACGAGTATATCAATGTTAAAGTTAATTTGATTTCCAATCACTGCTTTTATTTGAATTTCGATTTCAAATTGGTTTAAATTTGATCCAATTAGAAGTTTAAAAAGTGTTTTCTTTATTTGCTGTTATTCTTCGTTTGCTGACAAAAATGGCAATTATTTTATAGAAAACTGTATCACAAGTTAATTACGTTGATAATCAACACGCAATTTTGAATTTCGGAGCCAGAGTCAATTAAATTATATAAAATAAGTATTCGATTCTGCACGAATAGATTTCACTTTTTTATTATTGCAATTATTTTAATCACGCTACTTGACACAAGACACCATGTTTTTTTTCTTTATGTGGGTTTGTATATGATCTGGTTGTAAAAATTTTGTTTACAAATTGCTAACTAAGGTAACTAGGCGCGGAATGTTGAGGAAAGCATGAACAAATTGCAATTGCATGAGTATTATTATTGTATGCAATAGTCACACGTTATTTCATTATAAATAATAGTAAAATTAAATTTATTAGATTAAAATAAGTATAGATAATATTAAGGTTATATTTGGGCACAAGGACTTAAGCTAATTGTCAGTAGATGGCGCAATGTAAATTATTTCTTGGTTAGGCAACATTTTAAACATTAAAATCAAAAAATGAAGAAAATTTCATTTTTATAATGATCAATTACTTTGTCAATTAAACCAATAAAACACAACATTTTTACTTGATTATAAACACGTTTAACTTCTTTGTTGTGACTTTGAAAGGCTTAAACCACTTAATTTTTAAAATACTTCTTTAATTCTTTAATTTATCTTCAATTCAATTTTGTATTATTCTCTTTTTGTACATACATCAGAATTGCAAAGACATTAATTAAATTAACGACTACAAATAAAAGCAATTGATAGAATCAGGTGATTAAATGCGCAGAACCAAAGATGCGCTGAATGCGGCATTACTTACTCGTAAGTAAGTTGTGCGTGCAAGCAAAGCAAAGTGCATCAAGATCAAGTACAAGTATTTAAAAGGAAAGAATCAACCATTTTAAAAATAAAAAAGAAAAAAAAGTGGTTTGAAATTCTTAGAAGGCATTGATATAGCAAAACATTTCTCAAGTACCAAGATTTAATCGATTATTAATTACTTATCATTATATTGCAAATAAAATAAATTTTCTATTTGGGTTGGTCTCAAACAACCAGTGCTTTTGTTCCGTTAATCGTTAATGCTAATTTCAGATCATAGGAATGTTAACATCAATCACTGTCAAGTCAAAACTTAGATTTCGAACTCATTGAACACATCAATTAACTAGAGTAAAATTAAAGTAAAATTAATATTAATATTTAAAACTTCACTTTTTAGTTTTTGTAAGTAATTTTCTGATATGGATATGAAGTTAATCTAATTTAAAATGAAGTATAACGCATATTAACTCTACTTAAGTATTACTATACTCATACTTAAGTCCGCTAGTAGTTCAGTTGGTCGTTGGTTTCGGGCAACGTACGTGTACGGTAATTGCCCGGAAGGCATCTTAAAACAGCATTAAACTTGCTTCGAACTCACACAACTTGAAATACTTTCACTCTTTTACACAAATCCATGCTAATTCAATTCGCTGCTTTGTTATTGAAATGATTAAATTTTAAATTGATACAAAATTCAAATAAGAATTTGCATACCTAATAATATATTGGTTTATGAATATTCCATGGCTAGTTAATTTGTAAAACATTAAATTGGATAATAAATCAACATCAATAATAGCATTCTTCCATTCTTCACAGTGA